CTCTTTCAGGGGTGAGCAGATGGATTGGAAGAGATGCCATGTAAATTTTGCGGCATGCCTGGCCGTCGATACTAGGAACAACCTGAGAGCTACAAGAGCAAGCTGTTGCCTGCAGATGTGCCCAAGATGAGCGTGGAGGTAACTTGCCTACAGAGTGTTGGTCGGAACACGGTGTGGCAAACGTGTCTGGGTGCTTGCCCTGCTTGCCCTTTGGAGAGTTTCCGGCATAGTTTCTGAATCTGGCAGGCTGCATGCACTGCTGGCTGGGGTGAGTTTGTGAGGGCCTTGGTACAGAGAGCAAACAGCTGCCGAGCAACGCCACATCCTCTTCAAGTTTCTGGATCATCGCAGAAAGTTTGTTTTGACAAGTTTGACAAGGGTTGACAAATGACTTATCAAGAATTCACTTGGGTTCAAGGCTGATGCGTTTGTTGGAATCGATGTTTTCGGTGCCTCTGCGCCCGGCGGAACCTGTGGCTTGGATCAAAATCGACTTTGACTCGATAACTGCCCTACCCTAATTACCACTCTTGCATCATCTTCCGTCATCTTGCACAGTCATCTTGTGTCATATCGTGTCATATATTCATATCTTGCAGCATTTGACACTGCTTACCATTAGCTACTGGTCAAATGGTTTTAGTATGTTTTAGTCCAGACTAGCATGTGGGACCCATGCCGCCTGTGATATCAGAAATGATACATCGAAATATGACAATCTGACAATATGATATCCTCTCATTTGAGATCTGACACTTGCAAAATCGTAGAATATCTGATGTAACAGGAGCATACAGTATTCTATTGTAAACATTCATAGACCACAACTTTAGTTATAGATTTCATCCAAAGACAAGATGTAGAGACATCTCCGGGATTGGGCTCAGACATACCGCGAGACATACACTTACGACAATGTGAGGCCTGGACAAATTTGGCTTCAACGTCGACAACGTTGTCAGCTGTGCCGAGAGGTGAGGGCTGGACAGGTTTGCCAAGAATCTTCGTCCAAAACTTGCAGAATGAACTCAAATTCAATTCAAAAAGATCAATTCCTGAACTGTTTCCGTGGCAAAAGGATTCCTGAACGATGATGCTCACAAGAGACATCACAAGCGATGAAAACACCTCAGAAGCTAGTGGCGCCCAGATAGTGGATTTATGCCTGTCAGACAAAGCTTGCTGGGACTTCCAAGCACCAGCTTTGCTTGCAGTTCCAACGTATGTATGGAAGGTATACCCAAGGCATCCCAAGGCTGAATGACCACCACCAAAGAAGGTCGATTTGTACGAATTGTCCCCGCTATCCTGAGATCTTTTTCCTGACGGTGTCCCGTGTTCTACCGTCTCAGTTGACACCGATTCAGACTCAAACTGCTGCGAGTCATATATTTCAAAGATTTTAAAGATTTTCAACGCTGTACGAAACGGGACAAAGATTAAGATCCGAGAGACTTTGCGTCAAGGGACAGGGAGAGCTTGAGTGGCATGAAAAGAAGGCTGCAGGCTCTCATTGATTTCGTTCAGGTGCCTCTCCGGTGAGAAGGGCGCGCTGCAGGGTGGCCTAGCATCTCTGAAATTTGAAGTCAGCTGAAGTAATTTGTCTTTGAAGACCAGCCTTTACATGACTTTTTGTCGCAAGCCATTGGTTTTTTCGAGCTTTTCCGAGGTCCAACGGCAGCCAGGGCAAGAACTAGGCATTCTATCTCTTGTTGACTTAATGGCCGAGCCAGCTGTTGAACGAATCAACCGAAATCTGATTGCATTTGAACGGCTGGCTTGGACTTATTTTCCTTCGCACTTTTAAATGCAGACATTTTCCTCGCAATCAGCTCTTGTGTGACCTTCCAGTCTTGGATAATCGCAAAGTTTAAGATTGAAACAACAGTCTTGAGTTGCGAATGGAGATAGCAAACTTCACATATTTCATTTATCTCCACATGATTTCATGAATTTTCTGTTTCTCTGGAAGCTTAAGCAGGGTGCGCTGAAGCAGCTAACCGGCGGGCAAGCACCCAATTTTTCAACCCGCAGTGGTGGCTTCTGCGACCAAAACCTTTCCCAGACTGTTCCACAGCTCATTCCCATTGGACGTTATGTGGCAGCCGTGGTGAGAGGTGTCGTGAAAAAAACATGTTTCTTGCATCTCATTCATGCCGTCATGACGTTTTTGGGTGCATGTACGCGATGGTCTATTGATGCTGATTTGGCTTTTGTGTGATTTCTTGTCATACAATCTGCTGGAAGCTACAAGATTTGAAGCAAATGCTTTTGCACTATTGGATGAGAAATGCCTTTCATGGCAGCATTTTGCTCCATTACATAGTAGCCTCCCAGTGCCTCTGTATTTCTTGCCATGCCAACCACTCGCTCCCAACGTGCTACCGCAGCAGTGGCTGCTGGTGCTGCTGCCACCATGTTGGTGCCTGCTTTCGTGGCACCGACAGTACCTTGGCTGCACAGTATGTGGCAGAGAATCGATCATAGCCAGCCTGCGTGAGATGGTTTGAATTTGGGTACATGTCTGTTTCAATGTTCCAATTTGAATGTTTCTGCGTCGAATCTGTGCCACCTTGATTTTTGCATTGTTCGAAAATCTGGCTAAGAAGCTGAATGTCGTGACCAGCGCCCCAGCACCGGTGGCGTCAGCTGCACCGACCAGCGCTGTCGGTGCAAGTGCCAGCGTGGTTGGTGCGGGTGCAGCGGCACTGGCAGCTGCAGCGACTGTTCGCCCATCCAAGCGATGTGCGAAGAAGGAGAAGGTCGTTCGTATGGCCACAGCAACTGAAGTTGATGTCGACACTGAGTGCATCAACGCCATCCGCTTCTTGGCAGTGGATGCAGTGAACAAGGCCAACAGTGGCCACCCTGGTGCTCCTATGGGTCAGGCACCTATCGGATACCTTCTCTTTGCAGAGGAGATGCAGTACAATCCTGAGGATCCAAAGTGGGTGAATCGTGACCGTTTTGTTCTTTCTTCTGGTCACGGTTGCATGCTCCAGTACTCTTTGCTGCATTTGGCTGGCTACAAGAGTGTCTCGATCGATGACATCAAGCAGTTCCGACAGTGGGGCTCCAAGACTCCCGGTCACCCAGAGAACTTCGAGACCGAGGGCATTGAAGTGCACCTCGGTCGCATGTTAAACCCTCATATTTCATCATGTTCGATCAGTTTCAATTCCATGTTGATCTTGGCCTCTTTGTTTCAGAGTCTAAAGGGTATAAGCCCTGTGTGAGAAGATTTCTGCATAGGACCACCGGACCCCTTGGCATGGGTATCTCCAATGCGGTTGGCTTGGCGGCCGCTGAAGCCCACCTTGCAGCAGCGCCTTGTTTCGAGTTCAGGGACGCACATTTTCACTGGAACTTGGATTCAACTGATTTTTCAGGACTTGGAACCGCAGCACAAGAGCACAAAACTTGCCTCCATAAGGTTTGATTGATTCCCTAAGTTCTCTGAAGGCTGCATTTTTCAGATCGGTGGCCTTTCGATTAGGTTTACAACAAACCTGGCATGGAGCTGATCGACCACTACACCTACACCATTGCAGGCAGAAAACATGTGCGAACATGTGTTTCACTTGTTTCTTTAGAAGGCATGTGTTTTCACGAGGTATATCCACACATTTCCGCATTGAGTTGTCACAAACGTCGAGTCATTCTTCCTTTCAAAAGTCCAGCCCAAACTGGGTGTGTACTTTTCGGACTGAAGCGGCTGCACGAACCTTCTAGACATACTTGAACCTGTCCAATCGATTTTGACGTCACGATCGCATTTGAGTATCAGCGTGCACAGCCGAAGCCTTGTCACAAATTCTTGCAGGTGATGGATGCATGCAGGAGGGCATTTCTCACGAAGCTTGCGCATATGCTGGCCACTTGGGCCTGGGAAAGCTGATTGTTCCCTGGCAGCAACAAGCTGCACAAGCCTCCAAAACTGCAGAAAAGGTCAATTCTACCGAACCTGAACTCTTGCAACACTTTTGAAGGGCTTGCTGTGACTCAGGCTTTCTACGATGACAACGGCATCACCATCGATGGACACACCGATCTCTCCTTCACTGAGGATGTCGGCAAGCGCTTTGAGGGCTATGGATGGCAGGTGCTTCCCAAATGTACCAAGACATGGTAGAGTTTGTCGTGCTAAATGCGCTGTGCTGAAGACTGTCAAGATTGTGGAGATTCTCTGTAAGAAGCTGGCATGCAGTCACAGTCAAAGCTTTAGTAGGGCAGACAGGAAATGGCTTTGATGAATGGGCACAAGACAACCACACACCCAATCTGCAAGAAACGAAATCATTCCTTAACCTTTCCAACATCGGCTTTTTAGAACTCACATTGACATTGCGAAGCATTTCGGTTGATCTCCGGATCAGCTGCCTTGCAGGTGCTGGAAGTGCCTGAGGGCAACACCGATGTGGATGCCATCCGCAAGGCCATCAAGGCGGGCTGGTGCAACTTGATTCCGACGATGCCGACCTTCCGTCACTTCTGTCACTTCTGTCGATGTTGACAGCGAACCCTTTGAAACTGTCGCAGGAGGCCAAGGCTTGCACTGACAAGCCAACTTTGATCAAGGCAGGGAGCAACCAGAAACTGTCACTAGGAAGGTGTTACGTGTGTTTACGTGTGCTTACCATTGTTTACCTCTCATTAATTGATGGGATGCAAACTCACACATCACCTCACTCTGATGATGTTTGACTAGTTTCGGGGACAGGTGAAGACCACTATCGGCTTCGGCTCTCCCAACAAGGTCTCGCTCTCAGCTGCATTTGGAAAGTTGGGGTTGGAAGGGGAAACGGGGTAGGAACGGAACGAGAGTCTGGAAGGCACTGCAGCATGGCATGACCTCGAGAATGGACGGAGATGTACACAGAACTGAGTAGAACTCCGCGCTTGCTGAGGCTGACAGCCATGATGCCCATGGTGCACCCCTCGGTGCAGATGAGGCTGAGGCCGGGGTTTAACGATTTTGCTGCCAGCTGCCAAGCTTTGATTTGAGAAATCTTCTGTGACTTGCCATGCGACTAGGCCACTCGCAAGCAGCTGGGCTGGAACTACGGAGAGTTCGAGGTGTATACCTGAAGCGGCCAAACTTTTTGTGCCAAGTTCTCGTGCAACGTTGTTGATCAGTGGCTGCAATGGTTAAGCAAATTGCATGCACAAAATTGTGCCAGAACGGATGAGACAAAGTTATCCTGTGAGGTGCCAGAGCAGGTGTATGACACCTTCAGCAAGCACGCAAAGGCAGGTGCTGAGAAGCAGGCAGCCTGGGAGAAGGTGTGGAAGGCGCCCTGATCTATTCACTTTCCAGCCCTGATCTCTTCCGTTACGCACCTTGAACTTCTTTGAGTAAATTCTAGAGTCACCTTGAGTGAGATGAGGCCGAAAGGTATGGTTTTTTGGATGTCTGGATTTGAATTGCAGGAGTACCAGGAGAAGGAGCCTGAGCTCGCCGCGCAGTTCAAGCGCGCTGTGGTTGATCGCAAGCTGCCTGAGAACTGGGATGATGCCCTGCCTAAGGCCCAGAATCTGTTCCACTAGAGTTTTTTTTCTCGATTGATTTGATTGATTCTGCGCAATTTTGATTGACAGTGGGCTTCATGTGATTCAATGAAGAAGGCACAAAATGCGTGCACAAACTTGCACGCTTCTGTGCGCAGGTTACCCCAGAGGACAAGGGCAAGGCAACACGTCTCCACTCTCAGGAGAAGAAGCTTGGGTTGGGAACGCAGGTTGTCATGTTGTTTACTAGACATGAAGTTTTCAAGATGAGCTTGTTGAAGATTCTGGTATAGGAACAGGAACCTTCTCTCATTTAGCTATAGCAGCTATGGTCCGCACAAATGCAGAAGTTTCACAAGTTGGAAGGAACCGGACATGACAGGACTGCCTCAACGCCATTGCCAACGTGCTGCCTGAGTTCATGGGTGGTTCCGCAGACTTGGCACCTTCCAACATGACCCTGCCCCTCAGACAAGAAGACTTTAAGATGTTTCATGTTGTGGACCATTATCAAAGTGCCACGGCGTATTCATTCACAACGTTTAAACATGAGGCAGCAATGCGCCGTGTGCTGATTGGAAAGACAAAGAGGTTTTGCAAGAGGTGCAATTGGTGCTGAATCTGAGGATGAAGTGCACTGGTGACTTCTTGAAAGACAGCTATGCCGAGCGCAACATGCGCTTTGGCATCCGCGAGTTCGGCATGGGAGCAGTGGCCAATGCGCTCTCTCTTGACAAGACAGGCAGGAGTAAGGTCAATCGTTGAATTTCTGGCAGTCAATGTGTAGAGCATTGGCACTTTAACACGAGGTGTTGTTAGATGGATCTTGTTGTATGTTAAGTTTGGAAGAGCCAAGCATGAGGGCCCATGAGTCACGACATTTTTCATTTCTCCAAAGAAGGCTTTGGCCATTCAGTTCCGTGCCGCAGGCATGATCCCTTACTGCGCCACTTTCACTATCTTCACCGACTACATGCGTGGCGCCATTCGAATTGCCGCACTCTCCCAGGCAGGCACCATCTTCGTCACTACGCATGATTCCATTGCTGCAGCTTGTCTTAAACAGCCTTTTGCGGGTTGTTCTTAGTGTGTTGGGTCTTCACCACTTAGCTTAGTCCATATTGCAGATTCTTTGCGAAGACTAACTAGCATGCAATGTATCTACGGTGTCCCCAAGTCTGCAGGTGCTTCTGTCGCTACAGTAGGCCTTTTGCGAACCCTTTTGTGCTTTTATTTTTTGGCAACTGTATTTAGATGTCTTATTTTCTGGTCCTGTCTTTACCTTGAGCTTGGGGAGCTTTGGCGAATTCAGGTCGGAGAGGATGGCCCCACCCATCAGCCCATTGAGACCATTCCATCTCTGCGTCTCATCCCAGATCTCACCGTGATGCGCCCGGCTGATGGCAATGAGACCGCGGGTGCCTACAAGCACTTTGGTCAAAAAGATGTCAAAGGGATGTCACAGCGTGTCAAAGCATGTCAAAACATGTCAAAGCATTTCTAAAGCATGTCAGAGCCATTTGTCTTCTTCCATCTTGTTTTGAGCAAGAATTGGATTCTGGTTTGGACTCAGACATCTGAAACATGGCCTTTTCAGGTATGCTGTGGAGAGATCGAAGAATGAGTCTCGACCCACCATGATGGCGTTCTCCCGACAAGCCGTGCCCAATCTGCCCAACTCCTCCGTTGAGAACACCCTGAAGGGCGTGAAGCTCAGGATTGACAGAATCGACAAATACCAACGAAATTTGGTGGTTCTTGATGGTTCGCCCGAAAAAGCTGACAGATCGCCCTCAAGGCGCTCATCACACGTCACGCGTCACGTAAGGTGCCTATGAGGTGATTGAGTGCGCTGATCCTGAGATCATTCTGAAACTTGGCATAGCAGGCATCTTTTTGGACTTTTCATGTCCTTTTCATGTCCTTACTGCAAAGTAAAAAGTTTCAGACACTGCTCACCAACTCCTTCCTAGATTATCTAGATAGACTGAGCATGAAATCGTGTCTGGGATGACCTCAATTTCTTGTTCATTGAGTCTGCCCAAGAGGCAATTATCACCTCTATTTCACCGGCTTGACGCCTTCAAGGATTGGCACCGGCTCGGAGGTTGGTCTCTGTGTGGATGCTGCCGAGAAGCTGGACAAGAAGGCGCTGCGGAATCCCGGGAGATACGTCAATCGCCAATCTAACACAGCTTGGAGGACTTTTACTGATGCCTCAACTGATCGCACGCGTTAAGTGATGCAGTCGAAACACAAGCAAGAAAGCAGAAATTGATAGGAGAACATAGGAGAACTAGGAACGAACTGTCTTCAAGCTTCACGATATTCAACGATCAAGCTTAACGGCTACAGCTTTTTAAGCTGCAGCATAGGCTCTTTCCTGCATTTCTCGTGGCTGGATTGAGCTGATTGCACGGATTCTTTTTCATTCCCTCAGGCTCTGCTAAGTTGTTTTCTAAATCAACAAAGGACGAGATGCAGCATCCGCAGCATCCTGATCACACTCAGTCTTCATCGTGACAGTAACAGTCATTTTGTGACTGTTACTACCAGTAGTACCGCACAAGGTGGTGGCGGAAGTTTCAAAGATAGGAAACTACAGAAGAGGTGAGTTGTTGTGATGCATTGATGGCAGAGCGAATCCACTCATGGACCGAAAGGTGGTTGGAGTTGTGCTTTTTGGAGTGGTTGCAGTGGCCACCTCACCACAACTGCTGAATGTAGTGTGGTGTGGTGTGGTGTAGTTTGTAGTTGTAGGTGTAGTTGCAGTTACAGTTGCAGTTGTAGTGTAGAGTAGTGTAGTGTAGTGGTAGTTGCAGTTGTGGTTGTAGTTGTAGTGCAGTTGTAGTTGTAGTAGTTGTAGTTGTAGTTGTAGTTGCGGTGTAGTGTAGTGGTAGTTGTAATTGTAGTTGTAGTTCTAGTGTGGTTGTAGTTGTAGTTGTAGTGGTAGCTGTAGTTGTAGTTGTGGTGGTAGTGGTAGTGGTAGTGGTAGTATTAGTGGTAGTGGTAGTTGTAGTTGTAGCTGTGGTGGTAGTGGTAGTTGTAGTTGTAGTGTAGTGTAGATGTAGTGGTAGTTGTAGTTGTAGTTGTAGTGGAGTTGAAGTGGAAGTGGAAGTTGTAGTGTAGTGGTAGTTGTATTTGTATTTGCAGTTGTAGTTGTAATGTAGCGTAGCTGTGGTTGTAGTTGTTTTTCTATCTATTTGTTTATCTCTCTATCTGTCTATCTATGTGTCTATCTATCCATCTCTCTGTCTATTTGTCTTTCTATCTATCTATCTACCTGTCTGTCTATCGATCTATCTATCTATCCATCCATCCATCCATCTATCTATCTGTCTATCTGCATGCTTGAAAACGCAGCTATTTTGCGAGACTTCCTCAGTTTTTGAACTTGGCAGCATCAAAAACGCAGCAATTCTGCAAGACTTCATCAATTTTTGAACTTGGCAATGTCAAAAACGAAGCGATTCTGTGAGACTTCCTCAATTTTTGAACTTAACAAAAATGCTGCAAGTCTGCGAAACGTCCTTCAAAAATGGGAAGTTGAGTGCAGAGCTGACGGCGTCGTGCCAATGCGTTTTGCGATTTTTTCATTCCATCTGTCTAAAGTACTGCGCCTGCCACGAAAAAGCGAGGCCTGGTCATACGAAGTGCTGCGCCCGCAAAACCATCTTAGCAAACCTGAAGATCCGATGCTCCAAAATGCAACCATTCTAAGGAAATCAGCGCCCGGACCTCCTAACATCTCTGATGAACATGTCTCTTGTACTGCGCCTGCCACGCGAAATGCATCTTTGCAGATCTTCTTCAAATATCCCACGCCTGCCATCGTTTTCGGAAATGCCACAAAACTGTCACATTTTGCTCACTTTTGGCAAGGTGCAGAATCCCTTGCGCCTGCCATGCAAAACCATTTCTGAACCTGCAAATGTGGTCCGAGCATGTGGCGTTTTTAACATTTTGACTTGGAAATGTGCTTCGCGCCACAACAGCGTGCATGTTTTCGACATCTCAACTTCCAAAAGTGCTCCGAGCATGGTGAGCGGCATACACTTTTTAACATCTCAACTTCCAAAAGTGCTCCGAACCCGTCAGTTTTTTACACTTTTGATTTCGAAATGTGCTTCGCCCCGCAATGGCGTGCGCTTTTTCGACCTCTCAACTTCCTTAAAGTGCTCCGAAGCTGAGGTGTTTTGTGCATGTTGACTTCGACATGTGCTTGGCGCCACAACGGCGCGCAAAATTGTCATTTTCTCATTTGGCCAGATGGCTCCGCGCCCGCCGCTTTAGCGAGCCTACTTTCCGACCCTCCGGGGGCATAAATCATTGGAAAAACGCAGTGAACCGCGACTTTCTACCTTTTCGCGGCACCTTCATCTTCTTTCTTCTGACTCTTTCTCTTCTCTGATCTTCTCTCTTCTTCTCTTCTCTGACTCTTCCCACCTCTGCTTTTCTGTCTGTCCATATTGTCGGAAGTTTGACTTTAAACTTCCTTCGGGCATCGTCATCATGCTTCTATTTTACGTGATGGCCATCACGACATACGTCATCAACTTCAGGTTCCAACCTTATTTTACACTTCTGTGGTCACAGTCATGATTAGGATTGTGATAAAGTATGATCATGATCGTTATCGTCATCATCACAAAACACCAACCGTCCATTCAGTACATTTTGTACCCTTTTGCCAGCATTAGGGCCATTTTCATCACCGTCATCGTCACTGTTTTTTCACCAATATAAATCGTGTGGAGATGAAAACATGGGCAGATCTCTCATGAACGTGATGGCATTAGCCCCACGGATTCGCGCACCTGGGTTACCTGTCTTTGTGCCTTCGTGGCCTCTTTCAAAACCTCTTCGTTTTGCTTCATTAAAAATACTTTGAGATTAGAACTGGATCTTCTGGAGAGAACTATGCCGGATATAGGGCCCGTAGACAAAAGGCCGTTGAACTGTTTTTTTCACATCACGGAGAGTGCCAGGTCCGCGTAGTCCAGAGCTTGGACGAGTTTGGTATAGTTTGGTATTGGCACATGCTTCAAATCCCGGTCAAATCCAGGTCACCAGAGTTCAAATGTTTCGATCATGTTCGATCAGTTTGCAAATTTCACACCTCTTGACACCTTCTGACACTTTGAACTTGATCATCCCATGGCATGGCCAACTTGGCCAAGGTGTCCATGCCATCGTGCGAAGTCTTCAGGGCAGCTTGGCACTGCTGTACAAACTGCTTTACAAACTGTTTTTTGTCAAAGGACAGGATGTCAAAGGATGTCAAAAGGGATTTCAGGGCATTTCAGGGTTGCGTTGGGTCCTTGGAATTTTCGATCCGTGTCCTAAGGCACAGCCAGACAGCTACAAGTCTGAGTTGCTGCCGGCAGATGTCCCCAAGATGAGCGTCGAGGCAGTGACATGAAACTGAACGAGAAACCACTGCATGTTTTCCAACCAGCACATGCACATTATGGAAACTTTACACAGTTTTCAGCCTCACAGGCCGCCTGCACTTCCGGCTGGGGTGAGTTCGTGGGGAGCTTTTGAATAGCAAATGCCAAGTCTGACAGGGATAGGTTGGTAGGACAATCCTTGAATTCATTGAAGATCAGATAGAACTCAGATTGAACATCAGAATACATCAGATAGATTTCGCAGATTGACAGATGATTCAGATGATAGAAATTGACAGATGGATTTTCCGATGGCTGAGGCAGATGCCTTCGTTGGCATCGATGTCTTCGGCGCCTCTGCGCCAGGTGGCACTTGCAACTCGGCAGAGTGGAATGATTCGGGAGCAAAGAAGATGTTGTCATTTTTCCAAAGGAATTCGAGCGGATAGCTTAGATATATTCATATATCTTCATATATCTTCATATATCTTCTATTGTTGTCATGAAAGCAAGTGAAAAGACATATACAATAAATAATAATATTCACTATTTGTGATGTTTTTGACAGTCTTTTGACAGTCTTTGATATCTTGGATTGGTCATGATTGGCCAGTTTCCTACTGGTTCCTACTGGATCACTGTACCGACTGCTAAGGCTTGGACAAGTTCGGCTTCAACGTCGACAACGTCACCAGCTGCGCAGAAAGGTGCGGATGGTATCGACCGTAGCCAGATCCCTCTGATCGATCGTGACACAAGACACTTCAGTATACGCTTCAGTATACACAAGTCACATCAAGTCACACTGAACCAAAGACACAACACGATTAGGATGTGGCATTGACCAAACAGCGTGTCGGTCTTTTTCACAAGTCCAGCCTCTAAAGCACAGATCACTTTACAAGCCTGCTATTTGCTATTTCAGACTTTCCTCCATCGTGACTTTTCCTTTGAATACTCTAAAAGACTCTAAAACTATCCTACAATCCTGTTTGATACTTGTTCCATCTTGTTCCATCTTGTTCCCCGGCAAGGCTTTTGCGTCTCTCTCTTACTTGTCTGGTACAGTCCCTGTAGATCCCTGTAGTGTTTAAGTCCTGTCTCCCACGCGACACCAGCTGATCAGCTGCCTTCCGATCTGCCGTCGTCGTGGCAGGTGTCTCTCTGGCGAGAGAGGAGTGCTGCTCAAACCTCAGATGACCTCAGGGATCTGAGACTGTGTCGTCCAGTCGCCAGCTGAGCGCTGCTTTCGTGCGATTGCCAAGGTCCAACGGAAGCCAAGGAAAGCACTGAGCTATGGCAGCTATGGGGCAATGGGCAACACATTTTCTGATATCTTCTGATATCTCTTTATCACTCTGGCCAGGGCCACTCTGGATTGCAAAATGAAGCAAACAAATACATGTATGACTGTATGAGCACATTAATATAAATATATATATATATATTTGTAGATTTCCTTCGATAAAAACCTCTCTGTTTGCAATGTGCTTAACACCAATGTTTGAAGTGCAGAGAAGTCTGGCCTGAGCATCGAATAATTTCCTTCGTTTTTCAAAGCAGACGAGTCTTTCTTTAAATTAGGCCGTTTTGATCTCACATAGCTGAGATTCCGGTGAGCATTTAATTCATTTGGCCATGCAAGTGGTCACTTAAAATATCGTAACAACGGGAAGGCACATCACTGTCACATCACAAACCAAACCACCACAGAATTACAACAGGGCCCCACTCACTACGTCGAGGCTTGAGATCAAGGTCTCCATTTCTCCAGCATCAGTAGGAAATAGCCATTGAAATCGCGCCAAGAAAAAGGTAGTGTCGGGCTTCAGCATGGGAATCTTCTATTCATCAGGATCTAATTCCTGCAAATTCATGGTGTCAAGCTGCTTGCTGATGCTTGTTGAGGTGTGGAAACATGTGGAAGCAAATGAAGAACAGGAACACATGAGGAACACATGAGGAAAGGAGTCAGCACGAATCGGACACTCCGCCAAGCTCAGATCTGGGTGGACCGGCGGCGCGGCGGCGCGGCGGCGCGGCGGCGCGGCTTGCCGTCGCCATGTCGGTCAGGAGCTCAGTCTGGTCTCGACGTTTCGACATTTGAACCTTGGAGGAGATGTGTCTCTTAGAGCCACAGCTTTCAAATGCTGAAACAAATGCTTTCAGATCTTAGATTCTCAGTCTCTGATCTACTCACATGGACTTGCGAATGTCATGTAATATGTGGATGATGTGGATTTACAATGGGTTTACATGTTGACGTCATTGACGTCATTGATGTTGTGAAGATTTTGGCAGCAGATTGCAGGGTTCTTCCCTAACGATGCTTGGGCCGCAGCAGCCAAAGATGATGGAGGCTGCCTACAAAGCGCAGGGCTCCCAGCGATCACCGAACAAGCTACACTGAGAGTTGACTGTTGCGGTGGAGAAAACTTCAACGAGTAATAGATAATAATTGTTAAAGTTAAAACCCATACTTCTGTAACTTCTGTACTTTTAGTTTTTTTCTTTTTCAGAGACTTTTTAAGGATACGTTGATTTTTTCAGATGGGCATGAGCTTCGGTTGTTGAAGTCTCAGGCTGATGGCGCACAAAGTGGGAGAGCACGATGGCAATACGCTTGCATCCCAGCAAGAGCACTTCTTTCCAGACACTTTGTGCGATGCGAGTGTTGGACTCTGTGCATGATAGATCCATGCCATGTGGGATTTTGTGCATTGAAATCGTTGCAGAATGTGAATGGATGTCAATGGATGTCAATGGATGTCAATCTTGTTCATGGCTTGTAAAGTCGGTGTATCGCATATTGGCTCAGACCGGATCGGGGGCATCACTAATTTTTTGGGGCGAAAATTCTATGGCGACCAACGACGACGCCGGGAAGATCTTTGTGGGTGGCCTCCCCAAGAGTTGTGCACAGGAATCCTTGAAGATTTGGGCGGAGCAATATGGTGAGGTGTCCAATGTGGAGGTGAAGGTTGATCCCATGGGTGTCTCTAGAGGCTTTGGCTTTGTGACCTTCTTTGATCCTTCGGTCGCTCAATCAATTGTCGCCAACAAAGACAACAACATGATGGATGGCAAGTGGATAGATTGCAAGATGGCAATGCCTCCGGGGACCGCCCCTCCAGCAGGGAAAGGAGGCAAAGGAGCAATTGACCCCAGCAATCCAAAGATTTTTGTCGGAGCCTTGCCGAAGAGTGCCACGGAAGAATCCGTGTCAATGTTCTTCTCAGCCTTTGGTAATGTCACAGAAGTCGTAGTGAAAATGGCCGAAGATGGCCAGTGCAAAGGCTTTGCCTTTGTCACCTTTGAAGACGCCACATCCGCAAAGTCTGTCCTTGACAACTATGACAACAACATGTTAGATGGCAAATGGATTGATTGCAAACCAATTGTTGCCAACAAGGGCAAAGACAAAGGCTTTGGAAAGGGCGACTTTGGAAAAGGTGGCTTCAGCAAAGGTTTTGGAGGTGGTGGCTTTGGCGGCGGTTTTGGCAAAGGCTTCAATGGTGGCTATGGAGGCGGTGGCTGCGGTGGCTATGGAGGCGGTGGCTGCGCTGGAGGCTATGGAGGCAGGGTTCTGTCCGTTCGGTCTCACGACGAAATAGGGTTGTTAATTACGAAGCATTACGAAGCTGTATACTTAAATGTTGGGTCCTTAAATGTCCTTAACCTCCCAGTTGGGTTTTTAACCTCCCCATTGGGTCCTTAACCTCTCAGTTTGATGCTTAGCCTTCCATGAAAGGTTAATGGCTATAATTTGGAAGAATTACAATGAAGCAACAAGAACAATGAAAAGCATATTCCAATCAGTGGATGCTCACCATCAATCATCATGGCTCCGTAGGAGTCGGCTTTCGTTCTTAGCAATTTTTCTTTTTGCTATCGACAAATTTTCCACTCCTATGGAGGTGGCTGTGGCTATGGTGGTGGTGGCTGCGGAGGTGGAGGTTGTGGCGGTTGTGGCTACGGAGGATGTGGTGGTGGCTACGGCGGCAAGGGTGGCTGTGGCTATGGAGGTGGCAAAGCCCCAGCCTATGGCGCTGCACCAGCCATTGGTGGCTATGGAGGCTACAGCAAGGGCAAGGGCAAGGGCCCGTATTGAGCCCGCAACGAATCCGCAACGAGCTCGACGCTCATAGGCTGTTTCACAAGGTGAGGGATTGGACCTCTTATATTCCATCTATATGCACCTATATGCACCTCCAGTGTGAGAGCTTGGCAGAGACTCAAGCAGTGAAGGCTAAATGTCGGTGATTTTGGTCAAATGCAGACGCAAAAAAGGCTTGTTTCGTTCATCATGCAGAGTTTGCATCATGCCATGAGACGTTGGGTTTGATGCAACATTGAATGGCAGTCAAGACAATTTGCTAGTGCTGAACATGCCTTTCACCCAGGTGCTGGCCAGTGGAGTGGTTCCCAGAGCCCCTACCAACGGAGAATGCTTCAGGGAGTTCCATTTACTATCGACTGCAGTTCCTTGGCGCAGACGATTTCGTTTTTTCGCCAAAGTCGTGCCGATTTTGACCTAGGACTGCGGGCGATCCACTCGGCTGCATGGTGGGGCCCCGATGACATCAGAGAAGAGGCAGATCGGGCAGACCGGGCAGACCGCTGATGCCGCGATGCTCAGGAAGGACAGTGGCCGCCAGCAGACCTGTCTCAGCCACAAGGAGAAGACGTGGGGCAACTCAGACCCCGGGCTCATTCTTCCGCCCATTTCTTGCTGGGTTTACAACATGGTTGGCTCAAGGGTGCTTTTGTCCACTGGTTTCTGAGTGTAAGCACGAACCAAAACATTACTTTAAGATACTTTAAGTTGAATGTAAGTAGGCACCATATTGAGAGGATTTCTTTGCATCGGCTGTATCGGTTGCCTCGACCGTTCGAGGTCTTGGTATTTTCTGATGGCTATGGCTACTGCAAAGACATTCTGCAGCAGGCGTTGATCGTGTCGATGGGCCCAAAGTTTAAGGGAAGAAGAAATGAAGAAACGTGCTGTCTTCACTTGATATACGTGATGTGTGTATCTACACAACCTGTATATATATATATAATATAATTATATATATATATATTGCGTAATTATGTATGATATAGGTATGACATTTGTAACTCATAATGTGTTTAGTCTTCGATGTTGTGACAGGCGCCTCCAGGCCGCATTGGCTCAAAGAGTGTGAAGGCCCCAGTGTGAATTGCCGCACTGGCACTGGGCCTTAACTGCCTTAACTGCCTTAACTATGTCGGTATAGTTTGAAACTTTGGAACTGATTTGCGACTCTAAGAGGGAGAAGGGACGCAAATCGAGTCCATTCGAAGTCCATTTTGAGGTCCAGACAAAGCCAGCAGACAAGTACACAGAGAAAGAGGCGAACTGATGCTCTCTTTTTGCTCCCCCTTCTTATTTCGTTGTTTTCATTTGTTACCAAGAATTTACGAAATCCCTTACCATCCCTCTTGTGCCTCTTTGACTCAGATGTCGTCACAGTTCTGTTTTTCCGTTTCGTCCTGGCGGCTCTGCGATTCAGGTGCAGAAGCTCGTAGGCAGCCAGTCATGGGATTTGATTATCTTCGCGGCTCAGCGGAATTTCCCGGCGGGCAGTTGAAGTTGTACAATTGACACGGGGGTTTCCCATCCATGGGAATCCATGGGAATCCATGGGAATCCATGGGAATCCATGGGAATCCATGGGAATCCCAAATCCCAAAATGGGGACACTTTGCCGAAACTGAGGGGCTCGGCATCGATTTGCCTGAGAGCTCAGACCTCGCAGACGTGCACAAGCAGCAGGTGCGCAGGAAGTAGGAAGCTCCAGGATTCGCAAAGTGAAAGCATCAATTTTGGCACAGTGATTGGAGAATCTGTGGAGAAGCAATTCTTACCTGCCATGAATCTTCTTGCTTCTTCAGTCTGAGTTTTGACAGGTTCTTCCATACATGGTCACAAAATCTAAGATGTCTAGCAATCAGTCTAGCTCGATTCTTCCCGGTCCAGGATGCTGTGATGAAGCCAAACTGTCATGTTTGTGGGAAGTTTGTCGGAATTATCATCGCTGAAGCTATTGGATTTGGATGGATTTGGATCATGTTCGATTTTTGTGCCAGAACGCTGCACGGATGCACCAACGCACGGACGCACGTGCCAGGGTCTTTCTGGCCCTCTTGAAGAAGTTGGGTGATGATGCCTCCAGATGTAAGAGGCAGAGACTCCAATCAGACAGAGCCGTGGTTCCCACTATGTCTAGTAACATCTAGTCACTAGTCTTTGATCATCTTTGATCTAGTAACATCTAGTAACTATGTAGCATTATGTAGCAAATGGATGCAAGTGGAAGATGCTTGTGTCGTTTTCCGCGTTTTTTCGGTTCATCTCCATGGTGAAGGCTATGCGTCCTCACCGTGGACTGCTTTGCAGAAGAAAGGGAGATCCACGAGGTGAAAGCGCGTTTGCTGGATATTTCAATAGATTATTAAATTTATTAAATGTATTAATATTAAGTATTAATGATATTAATATGGATTAATGATTATTGCAACGTGTTCATTACGATGACCAAGACATAGCAAGATGATCCAAGACTCGATGTTTGTCAGGAGTTGGGTCTCAGTCTCATCACCAACGCTTGCCTCTTCGGTGCTTGCAATACTGCAAGGTGCGCAGCTATGGCTTTCAAGTTTTCGCCACTGAGATGAGTGTAGACAGTATGGAGATCTATGCTATCGAGATATATCGAGTATATCAAGGGCCATTCCTTCATAGCCATGCTCCTTGCATTTCAGGGTTCCTCAACGTGTCACGTGCCAGGACAGAGGTGCCTTGCAGGCTGCTCAAAGTCGAACCGATTGAATCGAAGAGAATTTGGTCAAAAATCATTAAATCGGCGTTTTTTTTACTTTGTCAAAATTTCGTGGACCAAAATCGTTCGGAATTTAGGTCCTATTCAGTACATCGACACCGAATGGGCTTTGAGGACGACATTCTGACATTCTGACAGCCCTGACATTCTGATCACCGAAAGCCCTGCGGCACTCGGTTTGCTGTGCGGGCAGGAAGGAGAATCTCCCATACTTGGTGGCTGAGATCTTCCGACATGCATCTTTCGGCCACCCAGATGCACCATTCTTTCCGAGATGCAGTTGCATACTTGTCGTATTTAAGTCCTTTCCACTAAAGTTTCCACTGTAAACTCAACATATCTCAACATATCTCAACATCCACTTAGTGAAACATCCCCAATTCCAGGTCAATGGATGGTCAATGGATTGTGTTTTTAGGCTACCACTGGAGGTAGGTAGAAATGGCACTGGATTCACCATGGATTTCTGGCTGTTTTTAGGTCACAACTCTGTGCGGATCCTGAACAAGGGCAGATATGTGACAGGGCCTTGGACAACCTGGCGCGTCGTGATAAAGTGAAAAAAACAAGTTTCCGAAAAAGTTTGGTTTTGTCCAGAAATGGAATATACATGAATATACATGCAGTACTAAAAAAATTATGGCCATTTTCATGGGGCAAAAAAAATGAGGTCTCGACATGTTTCAAGCGGATTTTGGATCCCTGTTTGATGTCGGAGGTTGAGGCAGATGTCCTGCAAGCCTTACATGCGACGCCCTGTATGGCAGCTGCCAGAGGCGAGGCTTTTCTGCTTCCAATCCAGCGGTAAATCATGGTAAATCGTGCTAAATCATGATAAATCCATAAATCCAGCAATACTCATGCAATACTATACCATGGATAAATGCATATTTTCCTCATATTTTCTCATATTTTCCATGCATATTTATTCCATACAATGGCCATGTAAAATGGGAGTATTGCTCCATTTTCAGAGCCAACAGAAGTGGCGAGGATGGAGTCATTGCCATCTCTGGTGGCAACGGCGCCTTGGGGTTGGTCATGGGCCTGTGGTTGCTACGAACGGCCTGGGATCCAATGGCAACAGGACCCCAGGGAGAAGATATCGAAGATACATTAAGATACCAAATAAAGATGTTCAAACGTTACATTTTCTCAATGGGCAACATGATCTGTTCTGCTTGTTTTGCTCTTTTAGGATGTTCACTAGTGTGCCAGCCTGAGGCCCAAAAGCAGGGTGGCAAGAAGTTCAGCATCAAATTTCTGTCAAGGCGAATCGAAGAGTCGAAGAGTCCAAGAGTCCAAGAGTCGAATCTACGCTGTTCACGATGGGTGCTTCGCGATCCATGGTTCAACATTTCCACACCAAAGTTGGATCTGGATTAGGCAGACTTCGGGGGTGCATGGATTGTTTCGAGGTCAATGAAGATCAGTGACCAAAATATGCCGAACTGGAAGGACGGCCTCTGAGTTGAACTGGTCTCTTCATGTTTCTTGCTTTGCTGAAATGTCTTTGAGATGCGAAAAAAACATGTTGTGTCTGATTTGTGCTGCGTGCATGATCCCTTGGTGCTCGAGGAAGTGCAGAGCTTGGCAGAGAGCCTCGGCATTCATGTCGAACAAGCCAAGTGCGATGTCAGCAAACAGGTGCCACTGGGTGCTTCTGGATGCCCAAAAAACTGAAGCGTGAATTATTGGGAGTGCTTCTGATTTCCATTTAGCTATCCATACTCCGTGCGAAGGAGTCTGTGGAGAGCTTCGTCCAGAGCGTCACACCAAACCTTACAGGTGTGCTGCTGTGTGTCATGATGTGTCATGTGTTTTCCATGCACTCTTTGACCGCTCTGTTTTGCTGGTGTGAATTCTCAGCAGTGCGCAGTGATTGATTTTCCTCTGTTCATGGCTAGACAGTTGCAGCTTCCCAGGTTTCATTCACTCAGCAGGTATTTTGCAGGACGGGTGTGCCGGATACGACATGATACGACAACCTATCTTGATCTATATATTCTATATTGTTAGCACCAGCAAAAATGGTCAGGATGCTATGCTGATCAACCAGACTTGGGAAAAGTTCGATGCGGTCTTCGAAGCCAAAAGCAGAGCGGCAGCTTTCTTGCATGACGCGCCTGAAACTGAGCTGACTTAGCTTTTGAGCTCCATGTCGTCCATGTCCATGAAATGCTGAAACGATCTTGATCTCAAGCGCTTCCCTGGGTGATGGTTTCTTTTTGTGGTTTCTGAATGTTTAGGTTGGAGAAGAATCAAAACCCAAAGCTGAAATTCCTGTGGTTATTCTCCTCCACGGCTGTCTGGCACTGAGGGGCATAGTTGACTTTCACAATTGCTGTGGCTTCTCTTCAAAATCTTCGATCTTGATGTAGACTTATGGACCGTGATGATTTCCGCATTTTATAGCAATTGATTTGCTCAGACCGGATCCAGCATGCCATCCCATGAGTACTGTAAGGACTGTAAGGACTGTAAGGCACTGTAAGGCGCATTCAGTTTGTGCAGGTTTATGGCAACATGGGTCAGCTCAACTACTCAGCTTCAAACTCCTGGCTGGATGCTCTCTCCCGACACCGAAATGCGTGAGGGGCTGAAAGGCTGAAAGGCTGAAAGGCCTTTCAAGGCTGAAGGCGACATTTTACAAGACATGTCAAGTACAATTATTACAATTCAAATGCGAAAAAAACATGTTGCAAAATGTCATGGCAAAACAATGTCAAAACAATGTCGAAAGATGTCAATGTGCTGTGCAGATCGCAGATCTCTGTGATTCGCGACGCTCCGAGATGCTCTGAGGCTTGGAAAGCCGTGCATGGCACCGCAGCAAGGAACCGAGATCTAAGATGATCTAAGATGATCTATGATCGAAGAAACAGGACAACGAATGACAACGAAACATAGAAGATGAACTAGAAATAGACACTTTTGATGAGAAAGGTTTTGCAGGAAATCCATGGAAATCCGGGAAAATCAGAGAGCATTTTGGGATTCTTAGTGCACATTTTGATGTATGCTACTGTATGTTGTGTTTTTTTTCTGCATATTTTTCTTCGGATTTCAACATCTGAGGTGGGGCGCCTGGGGTGAGGTGGGAATGGCTGCCAACTTGGACGATGCATCCCAGAGGCCATGGCGGTTTTATGTTTGCGTTGCGAAGTTGCGAAGATTGAATGTGTTGGAATAGTTGGAATGGCGGATGTTTGCAAATGTCTTTGCAACATTTTGCAAAGGTCTTTGCATTTTTTGCGACATTGGAAGTTTGGATTTGCCTTGAGTACCTGAGGCGCATGGCTATGAGCCCGATGCCACCCTTTACCAACGTCTTGGACTTGGGAATCTCCGCATGCTGCGTTTCACGTTCGAAAAAATGGTAACGAGTAACGACTGAAAATCATGGAAGATCGGCGACGAGCTGTGTGCAGGCCGAAGGCCTCTGGGGTCTGGAGTGTGGCCTGAGGAGTGCAGTTGATTCATCTTGATTCGTACTGATTCCCTACGATTCCCTTGTTTCAAGCCTTTCAAGCCCTGTTCCTTGATTTCTTCTTGATCCCATGTTCCCGGGTCGACTCGATTTGCAACTCGTCCCATTTTTGCTTCATTTTTGCTTCATCCCAGGACGGGCTTGCCGTATTTCAGTGTCTTCCGTATGAACGTTGACATCATGCCCCTTGCTTAAGACTCTTGCACCGGAGCTGTGATGAGCCAAAATATCCCATCCGAAATATCCGAAAGATCGCGGAAAACACCCAGGTTCGGCGTCATTCAGGGTGATGACCATCCCAGCCAATGTTATGGGTCGTTCCCTCAGCGGTGAAAGTCTTCAAACATGGAGAATTCGCAGAATTCGACGATGGTATGGAACTGTTCCAAACTCCTTCGCTTCATACTTTCTTCATCTTTCTTCTCTTTTTTTAAAACCTTGGGGCGATTCGACTCCCATGATGGCGACAAGTCCCAGGCGGAACTTCTCTTCACAAACGATTCCTCCACCTCCTGGTGATCCTTCGAAGAATCCCTACACAACGTCAAAAGCCGAGTCGATTTCAGAGATTTCGCTAATTTGCACTTTTTGCAGTTTGCACAGCCTTTTCCAATCGCACCGCATGGGTCAGAATTCCTTCCAGTTGCTCCAGTTGCGAAGGCTTGGATACGAGATGAGAAAAGGCCCCCCTGGCGAATTTCACCCGGAAGTGGACATTGTGTTCCTCCGCCATCCGGCGTTAGGGGTGCAAATCATGGTTCTGCATCACCTAGTGCTGCAGTTTCCATCAATTTCCAGCATCAGATGAACAGCTGGGTGATTGAAGATGTATCGTTGCAGAATTGTGTTGAAAGATGCCACAGAAAGATGCCACAGATGCTGAAAAGGTTTACTTACTGTAGTCTATTACATCTGTGGCAGGCATTGATTTGCATGATGGCCTCGTGTTCCAACGCCACTACCCGAAGATTGCCAATGCGGTCGGGATGTAGAGGCCCAGGGCGAGACATGAGAAGAAGACATGAGACATCATTAGACTTTCGAAGGTAATTTAGACATTTTTAGAATATTTCAAAACTACAGGAAGCACGGCTGTAGAGTGGATAGCAGTGTACTTGGCATTACTTGATTCCAGGATTCTGTCTGCGCAACAAGAAACAGTACCAATCCAAACCTGCCGTTGTCATTGATCATTCAAATGATTTCAAATGTCATTCGGTGATCATCTGCCAACTTGGTGTGTGACGTGAAGATATTGCAGTTCTCTGCGTCGTCCGCTTTGTCTCACTCGGAGCTCAGTAGGGTCTGACTAGAAGAGGGCCATTTCAATAGGCTCCTTTCGACATTCACAGGACCAGAATTTGGAGCTAGTTTTTTCCTCCAAATTTCGTGGGAAAATCCATATTTCAAATCTGCGCATGAGCCAAGCTGGTTCGCAATATCTCTTGTAAGTTTCTACCTGAGCTTCGAAATCACATGTCCCTCTTCCAAACGCGCACTCGGAGGAGATATGAAGAAAAAGGTGACCGACCGTCTAAAGCAATGCATGAAAGATCATGAAAGGAATTTGAAAACACGTTTTTCTTTTAGCCAGAGATTTCAATTTAAGGCCTGCACTCAAGCGCTATCCGAGTCGGAAGATCGTTTGCGGGAAGAGTTAAAACGACGTAGTTAAAACAGTGAAACCATGAAATCAATAGAAATCAATAGAAATCACTCAAAGTGCTTTCCCAGATGACATATCGACATATCAGTGACACAGTCCATGTCATGTCCCATGTCATCCCTCATGCATCCCGAGTCCAGCGTCCTACTAAACTCTAGTCCTGACATGTGTGATGGTCATTGATGGTCCTTGGTCCCCTTGAATCTCAGTCCTTGGAATTTACCCAGAAACTATCAGAAACAAGATGGATACATCCAGGAGAAAACAAACCTTCCACCCCCTAGCTTCTGACGATGCTGACGGAGTACGCGGCGCAATGAACAACGTTTTGTCTCTCTCACACACCCAGATTTCTCCAAATCATGTGGAGCAAAGTGTTTTTTTTCCAAAACTATGGACCAACATGGACCAACATGGACCAACGTTTCTCAATCAGCCGTCATTGGATCTATGGCTAACTGAAATCCACCTGCAGCTTTGGCCCAGGTGCCCTCATAGAGCGCCACAGAGCATACTTTATGTCAACATGTTCGTGCGCATCCCGAAGCATTCCTTGATGCAACGCATAGTTCGTTGCATTTCATTGCCATGTATCGAATTTCTAATAAACATCCACACCTCTGGTTGAGGATCTGGTATACCAATTGACTTTTTTAGGAGTCCAATGGTCGTCTGCCATGCCAGCGGAAGGCTACCGGGTACCGTTTTTGTCGTCACTGCACTGCAGGATGTTATTTTGTCGTTTTGTGTGTTCAAGGCTTGGTGGTGGGTGCTGTAGTCTACGCCCTTGAGAACCTCACTGTCACTCTGCACGGAATCAGATTGCAGGGGGGGAAGTTTTTGTCAAATGGATGGCAAAAACGGGGGGAGGTTCGCAGTTTGACTTTCCCTCCATTAAATTTGTAAGTTTGGGTGTCAAAGCTCTGCCACTTGTCAGAACGCGGAGTCAAACGGACCACAGAACACACCGGCTCGATTTCGCTGTCGGCTTTTCATCACCGGGCTCCTCAGTCGAGCCAGTCGAGCCGGAGCCAAGTTGTAAGTTTTCTGCGCAAAAGGAGAAAGCTGGTTGCTGTTTCGTACGCAAGATTTTCTGACTTGAATTGACATAGAAAGATTAGAAAGCCTGGAATTGGACGCCAACTTGATGACAGTTGCTTCATGCACTGCCTCCATTCGGGTGTAAAGCTCAGTTCGAAAACTTAAGTTATCAATTCACGTGGTGAGGTCAGTGAGGGCAACTGCAGCAAGGTGGTGGTCAGATGGGGTGCCAAGGGTGAAATCCTCGAGTTGCTCAAGGCGTCGATTTGACAGAAGTCTACTGAGTCTACTGAGTCTACTGAGTCACATGCACTGCGAATGCGGCGAATGATGCGGCGATTGCAGGATGCTCAGTACTTGGTGAACTTCCCAGAGACTGTCTTGGTGAGTCCACATTTGGCAGCTGCTTAGCCGGCTTAGCCTTGCTGCTAGCAGCTACAGGTAGAGATCACTCAGAGACTTCTTCGGTTTTTTCTTTGTCTTTTATCTCCAATATCTCCAACAGATTCCGAAAGTGGTTTGCAGCTGTACTTGCATCATCCTAACATATCTAAGCATGTTCATTGAGTCTTGCAAGTCTTGCATATGAAGGTGAAGTGATCTGGAAGTCACATCTAAGGTGTCTGAGGATCAAATCGCTTTAGAGCCGCCAGAGTTTCGGCAAGGTCAATGGGTGCAGCTTGCACGAGAGATCCAATTCAGGCGGGATGGAACATGATGGAACGAGATGGAACGAGGTCAAGTCCGGCATCGCTGCAATGAACAAATTGAACTAGACCAACTAGACAAAGGTGGGGCATATTATGAGGATATTATAGCGGCATATTGTGAGGGTATTGTGGGGGTCAGGAGCAAGCGAGTGATGCGTGACGGGCAGCCGGGTGTGGTGCGAGATCTTCGTGTGGACGTTGAGTCCGTGGTGCTGCGCTTGGCGCCGGTGGGCGCAGTCGACAGCTTTGATTTGAGCGCATCTTGGCACGGTGAGACACAGAGTTTGAGTTTTACACGTTGAAGAAACACAAATCAGCATCCAAGCGGTGCTATGTCGTTTGGCAGTTTGGATTCTCCTGGAAGCCCATTGCGATTCGAGGTCTCCCCTAGCGATTTGAAACCCATGCAGGGTCTCCCAGCGAACTACGTGAACGCTGGTGCCTGTTTGCTTCACGGCGGCTTCGTACCGGGCGACATGGTCTTCGCCTTGAAGGACATTGTGGTCCAGGTGCCTAGGTCTTGACGGTGACGGAGGGATTCTTTCGATGTCTTGGGTATCCTGGTTTTAAATCCATATTAATCCTCTACATTCTAATCCTAGTTCAGGGATCCAGCAACGAAAACAACTGACGCTTGAAACGTCACTGTCTACGGAGAAGTGTTACTTGTTTCTGCTGTGTTCCCTGACTGAGACGGAGAGTGGCACATCAGTGGCTGTGGGTTGTGGGGATGTTGGCAGCCTCGGCAGCAAGTGGCCACTGCAGTTGCCAAACACAACGACCAAGACGAGTCAAGACTTCCAAGATCAGGCATGGTGTTTGGCGATGCAATATCCGCAGAAGCAAGACAAAAAGGCTTGGCCATTGATTTTTTTCTGGCATTGAAAAAAAAATTGAAAGGCCAACACAGATGTAAGATGGTGACTGCTTCTGCCAGGGGAGCTTTTAATCCGTTTTGAAGCACGGCAAGACTTGGGAAACCCAGTCTACTTGAACGCGACTTTGGCTTCCATCAAGCTGCGCCAGAATAGAACATTTTACCCTCTGGTAATTTAACATAGCTATTGACAATGACCATTTATAGTGGATTTTCCCATTAAAAATGGTGATTTTCCATAGCTATGTTAAATTACCAGAGGGTATATCATTTTATGAACTTTATGAAGCTCTTGTTTCCACAATGTTTCCACACCGAGCCTTGAGCATCTTGAGCTGTGTCAAGGTGAACCCGAAATCTTTGAGTCGAAGCCCGCTGTTGGGAGCAGGGCGCCATGTGGAGCTGACCAAGCCTTTGCGCTTTGCAGATGGAACGGCACGGAACTTACGGAACTTGCGGAGACTGTTGTGGTTCAACTTGTGCTTCAACTTGTGCTTCAAATGTTCCAAAAAGAATTTGAAATTGAAACAGTGACAGTGGAGGTTGGAGTATATTCTTTTCATTTCTTTTCTCTTTGCCAAGTGTTGTAATCTGCACGGTTTGCAAATTCCCCCTCAAAACCCAAGTTTCGAGAGCGTGTGAAGCCAAGGTCATGGAGAGTGGTACAGTTGGAGTTGTGGTACAGAGCATCAATGATGGCTACGATGCCGACATTATCCAAGTTCTTGATGGTACAAAGGAGAATCCACATCCTGACATATCCTGACTACTTTGTAATATAGCAAGATAAATTGACCATCATAAATCGCATGTCAAGCTATGTGAGAAGTGCTAGAGACCGGAACTGGTTGTTTCTTTCATTTTCTTTCACTACTGAGCTCGTCGAACACCAGGAGCGCAGTTTCCAGCCAGTTGCAGATGCCTTCGTCATGGTCAAGGAGTCAAAGCTTGGAAAAGCTGAGCTTGAGGTCCACTGTAACCTGTGAATCTTTGCGACTTGCTTCCGCTGAGCTATTTTTGGCTTGAGCTGTCAGAGCTATCAGATTGAAATAGAAGGGTGCCCTTTGTATTTCTCTGCATCCCTGCACAGGCGCGATTACAGGAACTTGAGACTCTGGCAAAGATGAATGATGATGCTGGCAAGACTCGAAGGCTTCATGATGATTCATGTTGTGCGCAGTGAAAACACGGCATCTTTCCCTTTCAAGTTCGGCAGCCCGCCAGGAATGTGTCGATGCTGGATCAGAACCTGTGGGCCATTTGTGGCTTTGGCAGTGGTCTAAACATCTCATTCCTCACACACCAGTGCTTGGGCAGCACTGAGCCGGTGACTTCGGAGGTTTGGAAACGATACATATATCGACATGTCCTGACTGTGAAAACTTCCAAGATAATTTCAAATGTCGTTGTATCATCATTTATTATCATTTATCATCATTTATCACGTTCTTTTGACTGCAATTTGGAGAATGTTCCAAATTTTGCCAGTCGCAGGAAGATCAGCAGCTGAGGTCCAAATGGCCTCGCTTGGGGAGTTTGTCTGCGGACAGCAGGTGCCTTACGTTGAAGCCCGCGTCCCGCGAGGGCTTCGATGGCACGTTGGGGGGCGAGAGCACTGTGCCTTGGATATCCGATACGATCAACGGGATCCACGGGCACACAGAATGAACAAAGTTGAACAAGTACGAAATGACACATTGACTTGGACATATTGGATGAAAATTCATGAAATTCATGAAATTCGTGGAACATGTACGAACATCTTGGATGCACCGAAATGATGATGAAACCAAAATGGCTACTTGAAATGCGACTGGATACGACACTAACGGAATCTGGTGCATAAGGAACACATTTCCACTTATTGTATAAACATGAATCACACATAATCAAACATTGTAACATGTATAAAACATTATAAAACATGAAAATGGCCTGCAGACGACGAAGCTGTGCGCCTAAGGTGTGTTTCGACCACCAAGCATTGGTGACTGATGAAACACGAGTCGCGCCATATGCTGCGGCAATCCGTGGTGTTGCTGCGGGTCGGAAGGTGCTAGACATAGGCTGGTGGGAAAGCTTTGGGTATTGATGGATCAGCTTCATTAAAAAAATGTCAGCATCAGAGCAGATGGATTGTACCATAACTTTTACAATTATACGACATCCTGTTCCGATGCTTGTCTGCTCGTCATATTGGGATGTCATATGGGATGTCATATGGGAACCCATATATATATATATATAGATATATATATATATATAGATATATAGATGATGTCGTGTTTCAACCAAGGTGTTTCAACCAAGGTGTTCCCGGCCGATCTCGGCAGGCACTGGACCGGTGTGTTTCCTGGCCCGGCTCTGCCTTCGCGCCGGTGCCAGCGAGGCCGATGCGGCGGAGAGCTCTGACGCCTCGGTGCAACGGGCAGTGGAGTGCTTCAGGGCCGAGGCGCGGAGATAGCAACGAGGGTGGCTGGATGGATAGTGAGTGGAAGTGGAAGAGCTCAGAGGTAGTAACATGTAGTAACGAGTCAGAGAAATCAGAGAGGAATCAGAGGAGTCAGAGAAGTCAGGAATAGGTGTTCTGGTAGGGATTTGGAGACCGACAGAACACCCGGCTGCTTCAGGCCAAAGGCCACACCAGCGAACGCTTTTTGCCTGATTGGGCGATGCTGAAAGTTGCCTCTTTGGAGGAAGGCAGGGAATGGGCAGGGAGATATCAGATGATGTCAGATGATGTCTGCCAAAGAAAAACAAAGAGTCTCAATTCGTCAGTGACGTTTTGGAAAGTTGCTGAACCTTGCCTGAGGTGAAGAAGTGCATGTGACTGTGGAGAATGGCACGCATGGCACGAATGGCACGAATGGCACAGCGCAGAAATTGCGGCTTTTGCGGGGTCTCTCTACGGAGCTCCCATTGCCCAAAGGTGTGGGACGGACGATTTGGACGATTTGGAGCTGTGAAGCCGCTTATATCAGCCATATCAGCTGTCCAGCCAGGTTACAACATGCTGGTGCACGAGATCATGGGTCCCTTAGCTGCGCTTGCAGTGGTCTAAACGAAAATAAACACGGGAAAACCACCTTGGAGATACCTGTCCTGTTGTGCCAGGGAGGTTGCACTCAATCTCAGGTGACATGGCAGGCAATGAAGATGCTGCCCTTGTGCTTCATGATATACACGAACGAGGCGGAACCAAAACACATCAAAAAGCCACTGCATGCAGACATTTGCAGAGTTTTGCAGACTGCTTCATGGAGTTCATAGAAGGATAAGGGTCTGCGCTTCAGTTCAACTCTGAGACTTGTTTGGCAAAGATTGCTATGGCAGATAGATGCAGATAGGCTGGCGAAGTTTTGCACAGCGAATCATCCCCGTGCCGACCACACTCGCTGTGGAAGAAAGTGCCGTAGAAATTGGTGCATCACTCTGGTCTTTCGCAGGTCTTCTTGCTCCAGATTGTGTTGTGGTACCGCTTGCAAGCCCAGATGACAAAGAAATGGACATGAAATGGACATAAAATCATCGAATCCTGAAGTGAAACAAATGCTTCGATGATCTTCGTAAATTCCCATCTCTTGCTTCCCTTTTTGTGTTTCCATGGCTTCCAAGGCGTTCTTCTTCTACACTACTGGCACCAACCGATGTGCTAAAGCGGAGCACAATGGAGCCATGACGTTTTCCATGGGAAAACCATGGAAAAAACAAGTGAAAGACAAGGTAAAACCTTCAGAATTGGAGCTGCTGAAACGGCTTTTGCATGCTTTCGCCACGAAGGAGACCCTGATTCATCGACTTGGACACTGTGGAGACGCCACCATCACGCCACTTGGCGGAAAGCGGGAATGGAGAAGATGGAGAAGGTTTCCATAGGTTTCCCAAGATACTTCTATACACATCGAAGTCTCCTCACGTCTCTTCTATTTTCCTGGATTGTGTTGCTTGCGGCCGACTGCATATCTTGGAGTTTACGACGATTCATTGCTTCTTGTGAAGAAATTTAGATAAGAAAAGCATAGAAAGCTTTACAAGTCAACCAGAAGGAAGCCTATTGAACTATGTTGAACTTGGACAAAATGTTCAGCAGTGGTCGTAGAAGTGGTATATAGGAAGTCTTTTTTCTGGTTGTATAGTCTAATCTGAAGTTTGATGGAAGTGGGTACAGAGCCTAATGTCGACATGTTCGGAATGGTTTAGACATGTTTTCAGAAAGGGAAAGCTCCAGGCCCCGAACGCGCTACAGTGCGCGGCGCTTCCCGCCTTCGGCTTTGCTAGCGAAGCCGCAGGCTGGGTGTCGACCCAAACCAGCTGTCTTGAAAAGCAGCATGTAACATTTGATCAGCATTTGATCAGCATATCAGGCATTGGAATTCTTGGACTTTCAGAAGGGTCCCGAGCTGTTTCAGCAGCGGAACTTGGAGTTCAGGCAGGTTTTTGTTTCAAGCAGTTGCATGCGCTGTCACTTTTCTGTTGCGGGTCAGCGTCAGGACTTCACGAGAGGGCTTCCTGGATGGTGTGCATATGCATTTGCACGTTGATTTGGATGATTCGAACTGTGTCTTGGATCCGGATGATTTGCGAAGCTGATGGAAGCTGGAAGCTGCAGGTTCAACCCAGCTTTGCTGCTTTGCATCATCTTTGAGGTATAGATGTTCTAGATGCTCATAGCAAACCTGATGAAGCAACTTGGACTGAACAGATGAAGAGTGTGGAAACTGCACCATCTACAATCCATGTCTCTTTAATCGATGAATCCGTGCTTAATCTGTGATGAAGTGAATGAAGTTTATATAAGTTTATGAATTCACTTTTGTCAGTTCCATTGTCAGTTTCATGCCATGGATAGCTGAAGGATTCCTCTTGGAATACGCTGTACCTTCGATTGCTGGCAGAGCCTGTGCATTTGAGCGCTCACAGCCGTGTGCTGTGCCGCTGCACTGCGGACTTGCCTCTTGACACATCTAGGATGCTGAGCCCCAAATGTGTTGCCTTATGTAAAGATATGTAAAGCATCCCAGACCTGTACCATACTAAACTATACGAAGCAATCAAGCAATCCTAAACAAAAGCAATTTTTGGCTGCCAGAGATGTACCTCCGAGAGAGAGGACAATCTGACGAACTGTCAAACTTGTGGGACATGATTCTGCGAAACTGGTCCATACTGGTCCCACCAAGTGCTTAGCGAACGCCAATGTCCCTTGATTCTCTCCGAAACGATGTACGAAATGTACGAAATGTACGAAACAGTGGGGTTCTCATGGTGTTTCCCTCCCAGGCGCCAGCGCCCAGCTCGCTACTCCTTAGCGCTTCTCGTGGGCGAGGCCAGGACTTCTCGGACCTGTCAGGTCTCAGTATAGGGCGATAGCAGCGATAGCGATAGCCAGGTTGGATCAGCTTGGCTGCCAGAAAGATCCAAAAAGTCCAGAAATTCAAGATGAGGTGCTGATTTGCTGCACGCAGGAGGGTGCAGAGGTTGAGCTCTCTGACTTTGAGTGGAGTGGTGGCTAAGACCGGGATTAATTAAAAAGGTGTTGCTGCCTGATTAGAGCTTCGCATGTCACACACGTCGCTCGCTTGAAACTTGAAATCACATAGCGAGGCGTGAAGGGATGCTGTTGATTCTGCTGACAGCTTCTCAAGCTCTTAAGCAATCCAATGCAGCTAGCAGGGAAAAACATGAAGAAACGATGGAAGTGCTATTCTTACAACAGTGGCAAGCAGTTTAGTTACATGTCCTAAGCTCCCCTGGCAATACCGGAAAGAGCTCACTTCGTAGCATTTCTGGCAGATGCAGCCTAAGGTGCCCGATGTTTGCATCGGTGTTGAACGGCATAAGACAGACCTCGCCATAATTTGACACCCCAAAGTACCAACTTGCAAAAATATGGACCATAGTGATCAATACTCTTCATACTCCTTCAAAGCTATGGAGTTTCCAGTGCACCCAAGGACACTTTTGATGTGTTTGATGTGTTTTGATCCTCATTGACTTGTGGACCACTTGTGGACCCACAAAGCCACCAAAGAAAGGACGAATTCGGCCGAGTCGATTGCAGGACTCCCACCTTGCATCCATTCACGGTGGGCGCGCATGGTGACGCGGCGGATGTTTTACAAACAAATTGCTGTTTGCTGAAGTTCTTTTCCATGAGAGTCGACCCAGATAGGCTGTGAGCAACAAGTCCATTCCTCGTTCCTAAGGGAGTTCCAGCAGCTCAAGCAGCCGTCACAGGCCACCGCTTGAAATTTCGATCCAATTTCAGAAGCGCTTTTAAGACACATATCAGAGTCATCAGAGGCGCCACAGCTGGACTTAGAAACTTGTCTGACTTTGCCCTGGGGCAAGGCCAGCCTGTGTGGCAGCCTGCCTGGTTGCACTTGGACGAAGCACTTGCCGGCTTCGTCGCAGGGCTGTGGAGGTGGGAGAATCGCAATAAGTCGACATCGCGTAGCAATCGCACGGCGGCACAATAGCATATCATGCAGAGCACGCAAGTGCCGACTCTGATCAGAGACTTTCAGGTTCTCGAAATTAGTTCCAATAAGAGCAGTTCCATTTTGTTCTTTTATTCCAATGGAAATGATAAGAAATGACACTTGATCATTTTGATCATATCTGATCTCTTCATATCTCTTCATATCTCTTCAATGTCTCACTCTTTTTGAGGCACCAACCAAGTCCGCACCCCGGAGAAGGCGGAGACGAGTTGCTCCGCGCGAGGAACCAGCAGAACCAGAGGTCAAGGCGCAGTGAACTGCGGTGAGAACTCGGCATTTTAGGCATTTATTTTTTGGGGAAACAGTCATAGAATAACCACAAAATACAATCATTTCATCAACATCAAGATCATAGTATCATTCAATACATGTATATAATCAGTAGGCATATAGACTAGAAGAATACTAGAAGATAACTTCAGATAGGCAACCAACAAAGGTGCATGAAAAATACATTCGATACATCCACAGTATGGCTGGCTCCGCTCCGATTCTTGCACAACTGGCCACATCTGGTTGTGATTGCAGGCTGCAGAGAAAAGCAAGTCTGGTTTCCCATCACATTTGAGGCCAGAATCCGCTACCAAATTCAGCATCTGAAATTCACAATCTGCTCACCCTCGCAGGGCCGGACAGTTGACTGCGGGACTGAAGTCTGGGCAGTTTCTGATTGGACGACTGCGCTGCCCGAAGACCATCTATTTAGGCCTCGGAAGACTTTTCTGACAAGTCGATACAAGTCGCACTATTCAGAGCCTTGCTATACAAAGCAAGGACTTATTTGTATATCATTGTATATCTTGCATCATCATCCAGCTTTGATACACAAACAGTTTTTAAAGCACTTTTCTAGACTATCAATCTATAAATATGCTACAGTCATCTACAGTCATCTACAGTCATCTACAGTCCTCTATAGTCATCTATAGTCCATAGATTTATGGTTTTATTTCCTTTATTTTCCTTTCATGTGATTTCTGTCGAGGCTTGGTCTTTGTCCCGGACTGTGGCGAGTTCGTTGTGAAAGGTTCCAAAGCCATGAACCGCGCGGTGGACGGTGACCTGGCAACTTGGCAAGAAAACGTGTAGAAAATGTCACGACATGTCGTTAACATGGAACGACCATTGAGCTTTCTGAGCATTCTGCGCAACTTTTCCGCCTTAGCATTTAAGATATTTAAGATCGATGAACTATGATGAACTTCTGATGGTCCGTGACAAATGTGACAAACTGAGGTGGTGATTGAGCGCTTGACAGACTTGCAGGTGGGCGAAGCAGCTTCAGTGGTCTGCTGTTCTGAGGACGCCAGGTTTTTTGGTGACGCGCCAGGAAAAACAGTACGACAAGTCAGCAGCCACGATGCGACATGGGAAGGTCTCTGAAGCAGAAGAGGTGGCTCAGGCCGCTCACGCCACTGATTGACTTCATATCATACCATTTTTTATTTAATATTATTGATATCATTTCAGCTACTTTTGTCAATGTATCGATCTCTGAGTCGAAAGCAGATTCTCTTCAAAACTCAGGCGCTGATTTTTGTGCAGGTGTTGCGAGACAGCACCCAGGCAGAGTCCAATCAAGAGAAGCCAAACGCAAGGGTGGTTGCCATCCGCCAACGTGCCAAAGCCGCAACTCTTCACCTTTTGGACTTTTACATCTTTCGACTTTGAGAGCCTTCAACAGTCACAACTTCAAGTCTACCTCATCTATCGGATCGTTATCGGATCGATAATGGATCGATCGCCAACTCTGGCCATTGGAAGCTCCGCCCAGGATCTCAGCGAGAGATCGGCGGCTGCATCTACGACATTTCCGACTTGCAGGTCGCCCTTCAGAACAGATCCTGTGGATTTCTTGTGGATAACATGAAAAAAGATGACAACTATGACAATTCAATGCAAATCAATATACAGTATATACAGTATATACAGTATATACAGACTTTGGAGGGCAACCACATGCTCCCAGAGACAAAGAACAGAGAACCCATTGTGAGTTGGAATGGGCCAGACGAGGAGGTGATTCTTGACACCGCCCAAATGGGAGAACTTGGCTACTTTCAATATCTTTTCATCATATATCTCATATATCACTGATATATCACTTGTCCTTTTTTCGTCCAATTCAGTTGGAGCTTATGCATGCTTATGCTTAGAAGTTCATGAAGTTCCAAATGGCTACAAGTAGACAGAATCAAGCGTGATGGTTTTGTAATTGACAGGATGCAGAGGAGATTCAGAAGTACGAGGGTGTGGAAGAGGACTCAGATGGTATGGATTGGTAGTGGATTGGTTTGGTATAACGTGGTGTAACTTGTCGGTTTTCAGGTATGTTTTCAGTAGGAACTTGACAAGTGGTTTTCAGATGTCGACTGAGCCATTGGCTTCGTTGAGGTGCCCCGTATGACTGATATGACTGACTGATACATGATACAATGCTCGAATCGATTTGAAGCGATTCTGAGTATGCTCCTTATACATTCCTTATATTATGCTTATAGCTTATATATTTGATATTCATTGTATATCCTTGTATTCCTTGTGACAGGACGATGTCATCCTCGTGCCGGCAAACAAGCGCTTCCCGCATCTACTGCTGAACCGCTCAGAGGTTCAGAGGCAGATGTCAGGGGTCAAGAACCTCAAGGACATCGTGCCTTGGGGATCTTTCGCTGTGATGATAATTTGATGATCATCATGCATGATGATGTTTCTATCCTTTTCTTGTCAACAACTTTGCCCATGCTTCTAGGAGCAATCGGACTGTTTGATACTGTTTGTACGTTTGGAACAATTGCAAGATATTGCAAGTCAACCTCTTGAAATTTTTAAGTGCTTTCATGTTATATCAACATTGTAGTTTGGAACATCATAGGTTTATATTCGATTTGCCCTGACAAATTCTGTTGTGTAGCGTTGCGTTGCATTGCATTGTGTGTCTTTACAGTATACATGTCATGTTGACCTTGAAACCACTCTGGGAGAGCAGGACAAGCGTGTCACTGCTGTGCTAACCAACTGGCAGTGGCTTGGAAGCTGTGATGACCAAATTTTTAAGTGGCAAGAAGCTTTATATTGGACTCTAGGATTATGTCATGAATTTATGACATTTTATGACTCTATGAGCCATCATCAGCCATCATCAGCCATCATGAGACCTCAGTAATGTTTGGTGCAGACTCTGCTTGTGATGGGCATGCGCAGAAGGCAATCGTGGCAGTTACCTCGCGGTCGATTCCACAGACTCGTGGGAAATGCCGGTGAGCTGGAGACAGAAACCGAGATCATTCTGTAGCTTGGAGAGTAATTTGCAGAAAAAATTGCAGATTGAATTACTGAGTAATTGAACAATAAAAATAAGTCATGAATGTTTATAATAAAACTTTGCAAAGACTTGTTACGCCTCGGTTTGGGTAGTCTTGGAGTGCTCCGCAACTGAGGAACGAATATGACGTGAAAGATGAACCATTTTCCAAGGCAGCGTAGATTCCATGACATGTCATGTCCTTGCTGCATTGTTCGACTTTCACATGTTTGCCACATTGTGTCATATGATGTCATATGCAATTCAGGAGGTGCTCAACTGTTTACCTCCAGCTGATTTCCAAGTCACAGACGAGCTCATCAAAGAGCAAAAGCGAAAAGATTTTCGAGATCTTTGTGTCTTCTCCATCGACCCTCCAGGCGGAACAAATTGACAGTTTCAGTTTGTGCAAGCGTCACAAGTGCTTTTCAAACAAGTGTGATAGGTTGTGAAGATGTGGATGATGCCCTCTCCTGTGTGAAGCTAAAGAACGGCAACTTCAGTGTGGGCGTGCCACCCTGAGACTCGACGCCCCAGTGTACCATTGATGAAACGTGGGATGAGCTGCGATGAGGTCCACATTGCAGATGTGACCAACTTTGTAAAACCTGGTTCTCCCTTAGATCGCGAGGCGCAGTATGTGGACAATCTGGACAATGTTTGTTCGGGTGCATCAAGCTATGAACCACAGTAGAAAGATACAGAAATTGTAGAAAGTATATCAGTATATCCATTCAAATTCAAATCATCCCATTAGCTTGTGCAAGAACTGTTTTGAATGACCGCTTCCTGACGTCCATTTGCAGTCAATTTGCCACGATCGCCATCCTGTACAGCTGCAGATATGCTTGAACAAAGAGGCATATCGCCTTATAGATCATGGAGCTACAACTGAAGAGCCATTCCTGAGATACAACACTTGATACAGCAGTTTGCAAGCTGCCTTCCACAAACCAGTCCATGCAGGCGGCTGAGCGTGCTACCTCAGTGTACTTGGTGAATCGCCGGGTGGCAACTTGACAACAAGAAAGTCTCTATCCATCTCTCTCTCTCTCTCTTTCTATAAATATGTATACATATACCATGGGATATATATATATATCATTTGTTCCCGCTCTGTCTGTCTGTTTGCCTCACAAGAATTCTGGCGTAGCATACTTGGCCATGTAGCGATCTGAAGGGGTGCCATTCACATCGGAGCTTAGCATGTCAGCTGTGCAAGGATATGCTGCCCCGCTTGCTGACCACGGACATTTGTTCACTGCGATGCGATGGCAAGGACACTTCAACGGTTTTAGTCATAAAGTAGGGAAGGGTGGATTCTAGTGGTCGCGTCTCAAATGCGAAGATGACAGAATAAGTTGTTTGTGAAAGGCTTATCAATGAAGGCAAGCATGTGCAGACATTGCATCACATCTCACTTGGAGCATGTCACATCAAGTCACATGGTCACGGCTTTGTGAGGATCGCGTTTGCTTTTCAGCCATTTTCGAAATGAGTCCAGATGCAAAAGTCCTCAAGACGTTCTTCACGAAGGCCAGGTGGCGATGACCCTGGTGACCGAAGTTTGCCTCGATGCCACGTGGAGCATGTGACGCGTCGTGTAGGCACCATGTGCCACGTGTTACCATGCGGATCTGTGCCAGGGAGTAATCAGATCTCGAGCCGCGCTGTCCTACAAGGAGGCGATCTCATGAGATCATGCATTTGTCATGTCGTCAAAGGAGCGCATGACAACTGAGAGATCTTCCATCGCCATCCATAGCCATCTACAACTATCATAACTATCATATAACTATCCATATCCATCAAATCCATCCATGGAATCCATCCATGGAATCCATCAATGATGCCGATGATGTCAGAACTGGATCTGCCGAGATTTCGAGGCCCAGGAGCGTTTGGACGCGAAGACGGACGACGAGATCGGCCAGGCGCTGCAGCACTTGGCAGCGCTGGCGCGACAGCTCCGGGAGCGACGTTTCCAGGTGCAGCGTGCAGCGTGCTGAGCGATGCTGAAGTAGGAACAAGATTGAAGAAGTCTGAATGTTTCGAGCAAGTTGAGAGGTAGAAAAAAACATGTATATATATACATATATCACATATATATATATATTATATACGTATACATATATACACATAAATGAGAATAAATGAGATACATATTTTACGAAACCAGGTCTCAACAGACTCATTCGAGCGGTGGCAGTGACAGGATGGTGCCATTGAGCTGGAGAGCGGGGAGTTGAAGTTTGAGCCAGTAGCTCAGAGTCAGGGCGAAGACGGCGACGGAGTTTGTGAGATTTTTATCCTTGGAAGATCCTTGGAGTTTGGCAAAACTTTGGTTATTAGCCAAATCTGCAACACTTTGGTTTCGCAAAATGACATGGCAGATCATGGCAGCAATATGGTTCCTTCACTGAGGTTGGACACCAACACCCAACTTCCGACAAATGTCTTCCAATATGAGACTCACTTCACCAACAATCTTATTGAGGACAGGATCTCACCAAGGCATGAGACATGGCCATTCGCATCCGTCAAAAGCTTTCAGGCTCATTGATTCACCAGATTCGCCAGATTGCTGAGATTCGCTTCAGATTCTTTCAGATTCCTTTTAAAATTTTCCAGGAGTTCATGCTTCTGGCGAACCGCCAAGTGGCCCAAGAGATCAGTTCCGTCTGGTCCAAGCTGAGCCTCTTGCGAAGACATCCACCACCGAAGGCCAGCCTCAGCAGGCTCAGCAGGCTTAGAGTCAACAGATTCACTGTTGATGTCCGTTGATCGTTGAGTTGGAGGCATTGGAAGCAGGTGATTTGATAATTTCGGCATTCTACCCCTCTGGCCTTTGGCCTGGCCCAGGGGTTGTGTACAGCTGGTTTGCGTAAAAGGTGGTTTGTGTAGAAGCTGATTTGTGTAAAAACTGGTTTGTACAAGTTGGTTGGTGCAAAACCTGGTTTGTGTAAAAGGTGGTTGGTCGAAAAGAGCTGGTTGGTGTAAAAGGTGGTCTGCGGAAAAGCGAGTTGTGTAAAAGCAGGTTTGTAGCTGGTTGGTGTTAAAGTGGGTTTCTGCAAAAAGTGATTGGTGTAAAAGAGTGTTTGTAAAAGCTGGCTGGTGTAAAAGTTCGTCTGTGTAGAAACTGGCGTGTGTAAGACCTTGGAGGTTAAACAGAAAAGAGTCAAGTTGGTAGATGCAAGCGGCATGGCTGTCAGAGTGCATGTGTGGGGCACAAGAGAGGCAGGTTAGAACGTACTTCTGGCTGGAACGGGCAGGAAACCGTGGAAAAATGCCGCATCGCAGGGGCGAGCCAGAAGAAGAAGATGAACCTCCTGATGATGATGATGAGGAGGAGGAGGAGAAGGAGGAGGAGGAGGAGGACGACGACGATGATGATGGTGACGATGACCACCGAGACGATGATGATGTAAATAAGGTCAGTGCTAGGTAGCTTGAGAAAAGAGACGAGGCGACAGGAGACTATACTGGACCATACTGGACTATACTAGACCATACTAGACTCTACTAGACTAGACTATGCTAGACCACACTAGACTAGACTATATTATGCTAGACTATAGTGTATACAGTATGCGGGGGAGGGGGAGTGTCCACAAAACACGCCAGTAAGGCCGGCGGATTTTAGAATGATGCATTGAATGATTTAGATATGATTTAGGTTGGTTACAGGTGGGGGTTCTTATGTTTTCTGATGGCCAGGAGAATTTCATGTCTTCACTGGTGGAGCTGTTGGAGGCGCGAAACCATGTGACAAGGGCCGGAGCTGGCTACCATAGCTCCCTGTCTCGGCCTTGTCCCCAGGCAAGTGGAGTCAAGGATTTCACCTACGGCAACAACAAAGAGTTGCAAGACTCTCTGAACAAGGTGGAAAAGGCTGATGATCCTTTTTTCAACAGGCGCAAGACGAACATAATCAGAGATTGAAACATCAGAGAACCTTCAGATGCTTCTGAAAGCTTAGCCAAGATTGCCAGGCTTGTCCGGATTATGACCACACGCTGTATGGAAGAAGCGTTGTATTTCTGCACTGGACAAGAGCAAAGGAAAGACTGGAAGCACTTTGGTTTAGTCGCTCAGCCAATGAATACCAAAGAATAGAGAGGAGTATGACAGTGTGACTCGCATGACGTTTGAACATGTTTGAACAGGTTATACAGGTCCAATGCGAGACTTCAACAGATTGTCATTGCGTCGGACGCTGACCGCGACCGAGGCGATGGACCAATACACACACTTCACATCGCCCATCCGGCGATACGCCGACTGCGTGGTGCATCGCTTTCTCAGTGCCGCGCAGGGCTTTGAAGCACTGCCCAGAGTTCTACGTGAGGATAAGGCGCTGGAGCTAAAACCAATCAGTGGCCAAAGAAATCAATGAATTTGACGCTCCAAGAAACAATCGACTTGGACCCTTGAGCACTGTGACAGGAGATTGTTGATTGTTGTGCTCACCTGAACTACAAGAACAAGCCGCTCGAGTCGCAATGTATGGGTTCACACTTGCAGTTCACGTGACGTTCCCACAATTCCCACATTTCATGATACTTCGTTTTACTTCTTTTTTCTTGGCAACTTTTGTCCTTTGCCGTGTGGGGAAGCCCTCTCAAGGAACGCACGAGATGCGGACCGAGCTTCTGTGGAGTTCCATCTCTACCAGCCACTTGGCCAACTCGAAGCCAACTCGCAGCCAACCGAAGGATCCAAAGGTCCAGAGATGTCCAGAGATGTCCAGAGATGTCCTGATCCAGAGGAAATTGACCCCCAAAAATCAAAGCATAGCGGCATAGCGAAGTCCAGTACAATGTGCAGTTTCTGCTCAGGTTTTTCCAGCAACGTGGAGCTGTAGTCTCGGAAGGAGTGGTCATGAGAGTTGTGAGTCCTGGCAGCAATTTCAAGCACTAAGACAGACTACAGACCGTCTTTTGTCTTTTGTCATGGTATCTTTATCATTTTAATATGTATTTTCATCATGTTTCATCATGTTTTATATTTTGTAGTTTGGTGGAGTGGTGTGAAGAGCTGAGGAGGGAAGGAATCAGCGTTGCCGTGGAGGAATTCGGAGCTGAGGGCATAGCAGAGCTGGAGGAAAAAAGTTGGGGAGTCCTCCCAGATCCTTGGATCTTGGAATGCCAGGATGCAGAGAATTTGACATTCCTGGAATACCTAACTCCATACCTGGTGCATCCCAGGTGGTTTCTTGCCTTGTGCAGTTTTTCGCTGAGGAAAAGCAGCTTCTTTATGGACGGCCGAGAACAAAATTTCAAGGCTTTCAGATCAATGTCTTTGATCGACGCTTGGCCGCAAGAAAGAGCAGAAAGGAAGACAAGAAGATACCATATTTATTTTTTACTATGTGCGCGCAAAACTAAACTTCCTTGGGAATGCTGGAGATCCACTGCTGCAACTGAGGTGTGGTGGTAAAGATAGAAGCAGACAAGGATGATTTGACGAAGCGCAGATTGAAGTTCACGACCACCTGGCGCGTTGTTTTGAAGAATGACGTCGGAATGCTCTCTATAAATCTGGGCTGCGCTCATAAAATGGGGACACAGGTTGACACGTATGCCATGGTCCAAACATTTTTTCCCATAAAAGGGGATGATCATCCCCCATTATATAACAGGGGTGTAAAATATTCATCATGAGGGAGACCAGAACCCATAGAAACCATATATCATGTTTTGACCATGGCACACATCTTGACACACTGACTCGTTGTTGGCAAACTTTCAGCCAGGTTCTTGGGGATGCCGAGTCATTTGCCGGATGGGAGCCAAGCGCCAATGCCAGAGGTGGCTGACAAAGAAGCTCAACCCCCGGAGTCGTCCCAGAGTTGAAAACGAGCGCTGGCCGCCAGCCGAAGGCTAGACTTGGAGTTTGCACCAATGCCCGGGTGTTTTGAACGCATCTCGAGATTGGTTAAACGGCTAAAGTAAGAAGTTGGTCTGGTTTTTGTGAAACTCGTCAAGTAGAAAGTGATAGAAAGGGGATGACTAAGGCACATATATTTCAGGTGTACAGTTCGCAGATTTTGTTTTTAGGTTCATTAATTTGTTTGGTTTCAAACTCAAAGGTCTTCGGGAGTTACAAAAAATGAGAAAATGCGTTTACTACGAGTTCCTCGTTGAAGATCGAAACTGCAATGGTTTATCCTCATCACGATGCGTTTTAGCCTAAAGAAGTAGCTAGTTCTTTTAAGATGGTTACGCAGGGAGTGAATCTATGTTTACAAAATTGTTATGACTGGTCTGTGCATTTGATAGCTAAAGAATGCTAATGTATGTTCAGTTCATCTTGCCATGCTGGCCTCATGGCCTTCTGCTTCGAGGAAAAGACTGTGTTGAAGCCGCCGTTTGTTTGCCAACTCCTTGTGGCTTCAAGCTTGTTCTGACATTGACAGTCAGCAAACACCTGGACGTGATAAATTTGATTCGGGATGCTAGATTCAGATCAGGCCAGACATACGTTTTGCGTCCAGTCTTGGAAACAAACATCAAGTGATTGAAAGCTTTGAGATCACTATTTGCCACTCCTATGAAATCCTTGGAAAAACAAGCACCAAATTGGTGACATTTCGGGCTGAAGCTTTTCACATGATGCGACCATGTTCCGTGTGCTTCCCGCGGCGTATCGCCTGCCAGGTTGGGGAGACTCAATCCTCGTTGGCAGTTGATTTATGTGTAAACTGTGTAAACCCAGATTGAGTTTGGCTGACATGCTTTTAGCATGTTTTTATATTGTTTCTCCTGTTCTCCCGTCATTTTTCAAACTTTCAAAACCGCCACTTTGGAGAGCCAGGTAATCCTGGTCCCTTGATAGATTTGACAGGCCGCCAAATTTGTGGCCTGCGGCAGTTTTCTGTAGATGTTTCGAAAGGCAGGAGCCAAGTGATCCAACAGAAGTCCCAAAGAGTTCCAAGATGTTCGCATTGCGACGGTTGATTTTCTGCAGACGGTTGTGATTGTGACAGGCTCAGTCCAGGAAGCACCTTCCCAGGTCCGGAGGGTCTTGAAAGTGTCACGACTTTGCACATGTTTGCCATTTAATTTGCAGAATTTGCGAACCAATTCTTGGCCAAATGTGCTCCTTGTTACTCCTTGTTTATCCAATTGCAACGGTTCATGCAGCTCGCAGTTGCAGAAAGGACCTCAATGGACACTTTCATGGAAGAAGTGCAATTAGTTATCTGCGAAAAGGTCTTGGAGAACAGCAATCCCTGCATTTACCTGAAACTTCAAAGGTGAATCTGAAGGGTATGAGGACGCAAACATGTGGATGAGATCATACCAGACAGTTGGCTCGCATTTGTTTGCTGTTGCAATGTGACACAATGCCATGGTCATCGTTTCAGCGGCAGTGGCATCCCTGGCTGCGGGCAATGCGTTTTGCCTCTACCGCTTCCTTTTCGCAAGGTCTGCCAACTTTTTTTGCATGAAATCATGAGAAAGATCCGAAGCTCTTACAGAAACCTCATGAAACCGCATGGGTATTGGACATTTCAGTCGAATCTCACCAGAAATGTGTTGGCCTTGCCGGACCTTGCTTTCGCTTCAGGCAATATCATGCCTGGAAGTTGGAGACCGCGGCGGACTTACAGGTGGGAGATGGAGTTGTGATCAGAGCTTCATCCGAAGTCATTGCACAATACATGAGCTACGAATCAGTTGCATACGAAGAAAATTTGACTTGTCATTTGTCATGGTAAAATATGGTTATTGTAGAGTGCAAAGGCAAAGACTTCATAGTAACCGGATGAGCACACGAACATACCACAACTCAAAATTGAACTCTTTTGCTCCTGACTTGAGGCTTTGGTGCTGCCATCTTTCCGGTGTCCGATCAGCCAAGAAGTCATGCGGGAGACCAGGGATCACATGTTGGATATGGATGGAATCAATGAAGCTGCCCCTTTCTGAAAGTACTCGTAGTATTACGAAACATTTGTTAAACATAAACATATATAAAACATATATAAAACCAATATTAATTGGTAATTTGTCCTGGACTTTTCTTGCAGACTTTCTTGCCAGGAGCCGGTCGTCACGTGCGATGGCCAGACCTATGAGAAACAGAATATTCAGGAGCACAGTTTGGCCCTTGAGCAATGGTCCAACCTAGACCTGCTGGAAAACTAAGGGGCAGAAAGGGAGCCAAAGAGAAGTACAACGCAAGAAAATGCATCATGTATAAGGGTAATAAAAAGAGCTCCTTCGTGAATGGCTAATTACCGCCGATTTGTCCAATTCTGCTTTTTCCATGCGAGCCAGGAGTGGTTTCGTCGAGGAACGCAAACATCGCCCCTCACGAACCTGCCGCTGGACTCAAAGGCCTCACCAGAAAGTTGTTGCAGTTTGAAGACTTCTTTTTCAACAATTTTCTGCAACAACTGCAACCTCTCAACTTTCATCCGTGCAGCTCCCACCATCATGCCAAGCTGAGATATCTCCAACCGGAGAGCAATTAGCCATGTTTGCAACTTACAGTTGCGCTTGACATATCTTGACATCAACTGTTGCACAGCCACGGTTTTCGAGGAGGTGGTGCCGAACCTGGCGCTGCGACAGGCACGCCGCTTAAGCTACTTAAGCCACTCTCAAAAAAACTGAATTTCCAAATGGAAAAACCGGAAATCACTTTGTATATATATATTAATTATAGATTGATATGGGATTTGGACAAAAAAGGAGCACAGCCCAGTGGGATGCAATTTTTCGAGGCCGTGGCAGATTTCAACACCAAAGTGTGCCCAGTGCTGCGAGAGGTGCAGAGCTCAGTGCGCTGAAATGTCCAACTGGGCCTCTGTGCGCCTCTGTCATACCCTCGTGGTAACTTCATGTAACTTCCACATTCCAAGAGTCCAAGAGTCCACAAGCACTTCGAATCCTGCTCCTTGTCAAACATTGTTCACATGAGGAATTTGAGAATCGGAAGCGCTTGGAGAACCGAGTGGAGGTGCAGTATCTGAAACGCTTCTCAGTGACACCAGACACAATCGTCGCAGCGAAGTGACACCACTCCGCTCACACCTCACGAGATCCCATGAGAGCATTTAAGGTGCTGCTTCAACGCGAGGCATGGTGACATGCTGTGACATGCTGTGATATGCTGTTTATGTTGTTTATTGCTGTGTTGTGTTTATGCCACTAGTAATGCCAGTTGCAGTTGACTTTCCGTTGAAGTCCTTCGAGACTTCAGGTGCAGCTTCAACAGGAGATTGCCGGACAAGACGGCCGACGTGATGAGGCAGATTGAAAGAGGACACATGTAGAACAACAAACAGCGCCTTCAACACGCGACATGATTTGCAGACATGTATATTACTTAATTACAAGATATACAACGATGACTTATGATCATAGATAACAAATCACAACTAAATACAAATGATGATTTTGATATAGTTACATGTATTTACGTGAGTATGTATCAATTTTATCAATGCTACATTTGCCATCAAGTGTCATGTGTTTCCAATTCTTTCCATCTGTGTCCAAGGCGATGCAAGCCTTCCTGGACTCTTTGGAAGAACGAGAGGCAGAGGTGGTGGCTTTGCGCAAAGGCAAAGAGGAAGTCCTGAAGGACATGAGAGCTGAGAACCGAAATGGACCTGTCTTTAGGAATCTTCAATGATCGTGCCAAGGGGTTTCACAAAGTTTCACATATGACAATCTGCATACAATATATAATTAACACATATTTAATCATATTTTTGTAAATACAAAGGTTGTGAAGACACATATATACACATATATGATATATATATCACACACATATAAATATATATATATATATTATGGTATATGTATGTATATATATATATAGTATGTATCACACACACACACATATATATATATATAATATGTATCACACACACATATATATATATATCACACACACACATATATATATTACATCATATATATGATATATATATATATATCACACATGTAATATATATATATGATATATATATTATATATATATGATATATTATATATATGATATATTATATATATGATATATATATATGATATATATATATGATGTATATATATGATATATATATATATATATATATGTGATATATATATATATATGTAATATATCATATGTATATATAATTATCACATATATATATACACATCACACACACATATATATATATATATACATGCACATGGATTGCGATGCATCATGTGTTCGTTCGATGCATTCAATGTATTCATTTGATATCTACAGCGGTCACCGTGCAGGACATGGAGCGGCTCCGCCAAACACACCAGGAAGAGCTGGTTCAACAGCAGGAAGAGCAGAACAAGGTGCAACTGAAACACCGTTGAGCCATAGATGGTCGATGGCCGATGTTTGATGCCATGATGATGCCATGGTCGATGTCCATAGTACAGTACTGCAATGTACTGAAGCTGATGTTCATGTTATGTTCATGTTATGTTCATGTTATGTTCATGTTGTTCACGCAGGTACAACAGAATTGGATGGAATCGGGTGGAATCGGGCGCAGGCAGTGGAGCTCGTGGAGGCAGAGAAGCAGGTGGTTTTGGCAAAGTCTAAGGCGGAAATCCGAGACTCTGAGACGACAGACATCAAGAGACGACACGGCATAGATACGTTGCATAGATTGGTGTGAGATTGCTGGAGTTGCAGAGTATTCTGAAAATATATCTTTTGACAGCTGAAGCCTGCGATGGCGGTTTAGCATGGCTTAACAAATCAGCTTGAACTCTTTCAGGCCGAAGCTGATTCGCTGCGTCGACAGCGGGACAATGCGGTGAGGCGCGTGGCAAAGAGAGTTTGACAGCACCTGAATGCGACCTGATCAATTTGTCCTGCTTTTTCCTGCTTCATTTTTGGTCCTTGATTTTCCCTTGAAACCTTCGGCGGCCCAAGGCTTGTGCCAGCGAAACTTATATCATTTGCCTTGCACTGCCCCATGACACTTTTCCGATGGCCTCATGCGCCACATGCGCCACATGCGCCACATGCGCCATGCACGATCCGTTGGCGCCGCGAAAATCGACGTCAATGCGTTCGATGCCTCAAATGCCACGAAGTGCACCGATGCCGTTCACCGCTTGGCGCGATCGGGAGCAAAGAAGTTGCCACCCGAGCTACGCCAAGCCTTGGAGCAACAGATGCCACGGGTTGGTGCGCCACAACTTGCCCGCAGCTCGACAAATGACAGGTTTGTAACCGGCATTTTCTGGGTTTTGGGGTAAGCTATGATGAGCTTCCTTTGAACCACCACACACAAGACATGACAAGACCATCTAACGGCATAGTCATAGCATAGCAGTGCTAGTTTCCTCGAATTCATTTTTTTCAGCCTAGGACAGGCTTGGGCTTTGGGACGGATTGGAGATGAAGATGCCCAACAGTTGTTGAACCGCCTTGTCGAACGCCTACACAAAGCAGGCGCCCTTCAGCTGTGCCCGACTTGGCAAAGCTAGGCAGTTGTCACGCACTGCATGGCACTAGGTTACGGTCTTCATTGCCAGATACCTCTTTCTTTGAAACTTCCGCCACCGCCTTGTGCGGCACTAGTGGTACAGTAAGTAGGTTTTTTTGACGCACACGTCACAGGCATTGCGCACCCTGCGGCAGTGGCATCAACAACTTGGGCGATGGCAAGACATCGATTGCAGCTGCCTCAAGGTTTCGTGGAAATCCTTCGGCAGCGAGAAGTCTTGGTCAAAATGGAACCGCAGGACGCTTCGTTGACGCTGTGGGCTTTGGCCAAGCTGCGATCGCAACTGGGTCAACTGCCGAAACTCGGGAAGACCCGATGGTCGACGCGCGATGCCTCAACGGCCATGTGGGCCTGTGCCACGATGCAAACAAAACCAACCAGGTCGACCTTGGACATTTGGTGCAATACATTGCTGGAGAAGATGCACCTTTGCACTCAACAGGTTGGAAATCATTGGACATCATTGGGAAAGTGGGTGAAACATGGTGAAACCACACAAGTTTTAGATTTTCCATGTTCAAGTTCATTGCTCATGTCTGAGTGTCTGGTTACGCCAATGACTTTTGCCAATGACTTGACCGTGACAGGATATCTCCAATATGCTTTGGGCCTTGGCCACACTCAGCATTTCTACGCCCTTGACTGAAAGATGCATCGATGCCGCTCCACTTCAAAATTTACATGGCCAGGTGAGGCGCACTGGCTGTGCGCAAAAGAGACTCAAGATAGTATAGAGTAGTATAGAGTATGAATCACTGTTTGAGTATTTATGAGATTCAGACGTGTGGAATTCCCAAAGTCGAAGTTTTGAGTGATTCATGTGATCCTATGGATATCCTCGATAGGCCGCCGCCAATGCCATGTGGGCTTTGGTGCAGCTTCAACGACCCCAGCGTCTTTCAGAACTCACTTCAAGAAATATTGGACAACTGCAGCCACAGGAGTGGGCCAACTGTGACTCAGCAGAGAGATGACCAAAAGTGACCAAAGCAATGAAAGTTTCGCTAAGACATCTCTGTTTTGACATCTCTGAATATCTCTGTCAAACAGTGTGACATCTTTTGTTTTGACATCTCTGTTTTATTCGGTCCTTCGTGCTGGCAACAGCTGCCAAGGTGTTTGGGCTCTGGCCACAGCTGGTCTTCATGACGAAGAATTTTTCAGGAAAACCAAGGAGCCAGTGCTTCTTAGCCACAGCTATGCTTCATTCCAAACATCAGGGACATTCTGGCAATCACTGCTGGGATAGGGAGAAATTGATCTGAATCGAAGATATGGGACATAGCAATGTTGCCTTGACTACCTTTCCTGTCTTCATTTCCCCGCCTCTAACATGCCCTGCAAGGTACCAGATCTGGATTCTTTCTCTCTTGATTCTTTGAGCAGAGCTGCTTGTGAATCCAAGTCCCCGCCTGCTTTCGGCTTCCAATAAGTAATGGGACACAGACAGGGGCCAACAATTTTCCCTGTTGCAAAGTTTCGCTTGGAAGGAGCAGTTGAGTTCAGCTGACGCCATGAAGGCTTTGGCATCTTGTAGCCCAAACGGCAGCTCGTCACAAAATTTCCAAATGGGCATCTTTTAATATCTTTTAATCGTCATGAATCACGAATAAAAAATAATAAAAATACATGATGATATGATGATATGATGATGATCTTGCTTCCTGGATTCCTGCACCACAGTTGCCATGGCCCCAAGGTACTCTGCTGAGCAATGTGGCCTGGGCCTACGCCTTCGCAACGACCCTGTTGGGCAGGCGGGAGGGGATACTGCTGGATGTAGCTGGGAGAGCCGGCAGAGCTGCGTCATTCATGCCGTTGCCGTTCAGCTTCCCGCTGCCGAGGCTTGAGAAGGATGAGGACTTTCTGGATGCTGTGCGGGCACAGCTTCGCGCACTGGGCCAAGAGCAAGATGGGAAGGTAAGTATGAGGAGACCTGCAGCAGCTACACTGAACAAGGCTGGAATGATTGGAATGTGGACAGAAGTTGGACAGGCAAATTGAAGTTGGTTGACTTGTCATGAGATGTTTTGATACGCAAACTCTGTACCAGGAACTTGTGCACGTTTGTCAAGCAACAGAACCTCGAATTGTTCAGCGGATCTCAGGCTCACGCTGTTTGCAGCAAAGCTTCAGCCGTTTCGCTGTTTGACTTTCTACCAGATTCTCATTTCTTGCTCTGAGATCGAAGAGCCTGTCTGATGTAAGTATGCAACATATGTCAAACATATGTCAACAATTAGTAACATGACTCATATGACCATTATATGACCATTACATACCATTACCATGGCCCATGGCCATGGCTGGTGTCAGGCTTGACAGTGATCTACAAGCCACCTGGATGGGAGGTGGATGGTCACGAGACGGAACCAGACTCTCATGCCTTGAGGCGCATGGCATCGCATCGCATGGTGCTTTTTTGTTTTAGGAAAGCAGCATGGACCTGCAGAAATTTGCGAATTTCAATGCCTGGTTTTGAAAGGCTTGAAGATGCTTGAAGTTCAAGTACCTGAGAATTTGATACAAGTTGATTGTCTTCGGATTTTATGTCCTGACGTGGTTTTGGAAAGAGTCCTGAAATTGGGACCCTTTGGTGTTTCCAATTTCGAGGCTTTCCGACTTTGTCAAAGACACCTTGGATTCACGGACGGTGCATGAGGGTGATCGTGGCTTCTTGCATCGCTTGGACGTGCAGAGCAGTGGATTGGTGGGGCGATACAAATTCGTTGAGAATCCCCCAAAGGTATTACTATTGTATTACTATCATCTCATAACTATTATCTCATAAATCATCATTAATTATCAATCAAACAAAACATCCGAAATTTTTGGGCAACAAAACCTCTGAATTGGTTCCCTCCCCTGAGGTGATTCATGCGGAAACCTACCAGGCCCTGATGGATTTACGGTGGCAGCAGGACACCTTTCAGGTGGTCCGGGAATATCTGGTTTTGGCCCATGAGCATTGGGAACATCGGGAACCTTGGCCGTCGACTTCGATGGATGCTCCGGATGATGTGTTTGTCTTGAACGACCGATTGGAGGAAGTCGCAGGTGGCTGCCGTAAAACTGGCTTTGGTCGACCCTCGAGGTCATTGCTTCGACCCTTGGCGCACTTGCGGCACTTGCGTTCAGGATCGAATGGATCGAATGGATCGAGAGATTTCACCCTGCTGCTGATTCGAATTGTGACAGGTCGAAGACATCAGATCCGAGTACAGTTGGCAAGCCGAGGGCATCCTGTTGTGGGGGATGGACGCTATGGATATGGCTCCGATTTCACATTTTGTCCAAGATTGTTCCTGCACCGGCACCGCCTTTCCTTCCATTGTGGTGAGCCTGTATCAGTTACTGAGCAACTCCCAGAAGATCTTCGACATGTGCTGGACGGTATGGAGCTGATGGAGCCGATGGAACGATCAAGAGCTCCGCATCGAAACGAGATCGCAGACATTGCATCCGCCCTACCTTCGCTGTACGGTGAAGCTCTTGTCGCCGGCGAAAAATGATAAACAACGATACACAATGATAAACAATGATAAACAAGTGCATTGAATGTATTGAATGCATTGATATGTGAGGCTTTGGGTGGAAAGATGAAAAAAAGTCAGTCACTGGAATCTTTGCAGGATCATCCAGGGCCTTCGAAGATCCTCGCAGCCCAAGGCCCTTTTGATGGACAAATTTGACAACGAAGAGAAAAAATCGACACTTCACAAAGGGACTGGACTCTGACTGGACAGATCTCCGAGTCTTCAGGACATGGTTTCTGTTTCTGTCCGTTTCGCAGAAAGCTAACACACCGACCTTCGGTGTGTTTTTTTCAGGGCTGGATGGCTGGATTCCCAGTTTTTACCGTGTTTTCTCCGATGTCACAGGCAAGTAATCTTTCTGGACCGCGAGTTACAGACCTCCTGGAGGCACACGTGATGCTTTTGATGAACAGATTACGATTAAATCACATAGACACACTTGCACCCATCATTCAGATTCATTCAAATTTGTTTCTTATATTGACACCATTGGCATGTACAATATTGATCAATCTTGTATAAAATACCTGCCAGATTTTTTCACAGAGATAGCTCAGAGAGTTGGTGACGTTGGTGACGTTGGTGACGTCGGAGGTAGATCTTGGATCTCAAAGTGAGACTCTGGAGGTGCACAGCTGTGGTTTGTCTTGAAAGTCTTGCCTTTTTTCTATCCTTTTCCTTTGCTGATTTCTGAAAAAGATCCTAATATTTTAATATGTAATATGTATATTTAATATGTAATTAAGGAACTTTTATGAATTTTCGTGTTTGCACGGGATGTTGTGTTTTGGTTGCCGGGTGGTTTTTTTCACATTTAGTGTCTTCCAATCGGCTTGAGGTTCTAGGATTCCAGGGTTTGTTGGTTGCAATGATCCCATGAATCAACATGGAGCATGGACCCCAAGGTAATTTTGGATTTTATTTAGGCGATCTGGTGAGAGTGATCCTGATGTTGATGGTGATAGTGATGATGGGGTTGGGGCGCAGAAAGGTTAGACTATGTTAGACTTTTTCAGATGACAATGGGGACAATGAGACATATGATGCCGTAGGTAGTGACTGGGTAGTTCCGGCAGAGCAGGCACCCGACAGCAGCAAAAGCTTAGAAAAAACGTGGTCAAGAAGCAACAACAAAATGAAAACACTAAGGCATGAAAACAACAACAAAATGAAAGTTGATTAAGTATTTAATATGTTTCTCCCCTTCCTATAGATCCTATAGTATATTATACTACAATTACATGATTTGGCGCCAAGAGAGGCTGAACCTCCTGGCTCTGTTGGACACGGTCGGGGCCTCCAGCGATAAAGGTTGGAACGTTTGCGTTGTGCAATGGTGCAATGGAAACGAATTCGTTAAGCATTTCGATTTTACCATACTTTACCTTTGTTTTAAGCACAGGCAGATCAGGCAGATGGAAGATTTTATGGCTATGCACGCCGTAATTCATCTGTGGGCTGTTCGCGAATTTCACTGAGGGACCCGATCTAGCAGCGTCGGTCCTTGGCTTAGGAAGGCTTAGGTTTGATCTTCAAGAGTTCGGAGCACCCTTTGGTGTTTACTCCATATTGACACACCGCAGACACGTGGCTGAGATAGCGCCTTGCCAGCCCTGCCCAAGGCCGTAGACGTCTGTGAATTGTGAAGCCATGTGAAGCCTGAATGCTCTGCCAATGCTCTGCTGTGGCGCAGGATCTCGCAATGGCTCCTGGCTTTTCGAGTCTGCGTCCAGAAGTAGGGGAGAAACTGCCCTCCACTTCAGGCGGGATTAGACAAAACAGCAGAAACTCGGGAAGAGTGCACTTAGTGCACTTAGTGCACTTCTTACTTCTTTCTTTAGGATTGCTGCCGCATGTGAGGTTCAGAAGGTCAAACTGCATCGTCGTCTGCGTTGTTTGGCCGCTGCTCAGCAGAAACTCATGGCCGTTCAAAGTAAATACGCAGAAGTCCCGTAAAACCTGAGCAACAAAGGATTTATATATGATATATTTCAGTCATGCAAAGTTGATGTTCACATGTTCGCAGATCCCCCCCAGGAGCGAATATGCGATCAAAAGGGGTCCAAGCATATTACCTGCACTCTCTGTGAGGTTTCTCGCAAGTTCGAAGCGTGACCAGCCATGGCTCTGCCACAGTCTTAGTCAGTGATCTGCAAAGAGTTTGAAAGATTTGAAAGAGATGTAAAGTCGCTGCAAAGTTGATCAAACAATCAGAGATCAAACACCTTTGATCACCTTTGATCAGCACTTCAAAGCGTGAGCCGTGAGACTTTCTGGCTGTTTGCAGGCGAGGCAGCGGTCTTCTTCTGCAACCATGCAGCAGAGGCTCTGCACTGCTTTTTTTCTTGATACAATCTATGTGGAAATATGTTATTATGATTTATTATGAAATCATTAATATTCATTAATTATTACTATTAAGATCTATTAAGTATGTGGATTGGATGGCAAACTTCAAGTGGCGTTTGTCAATCCCTCGATTGCAATCTTATCCGACCTCGGGCTAGGTCGGAAAAGTCGGAACGGCCAGCTCGAAGCACAATGCAGCATAGATGCAGAGAGCTGTGTTGGCCACGTCGGTCACGTCGGTCACGGCAACGTTTCACATTTTTTGCCTGGAAAGTGGTACTATGTGGTACTACGATTTGCATCAATTTCCTTTGATACGTTTGGTAGGAAGCAAACACGTCGTGACATGCCGAAAGCGTCATCGATAACAAGCATTCCAGCTTCGACAGCAGTTCAGTTTTGTTCATTTGAGGTTTCGGAACCTCTTTCGAAGGCCGACAAATCCAGCAGCAGGAGCAACGTGAGCTTGAACTACTAAAACAAGTCGAAATACATGGCAGAGTAATGCATAGTGACGCATAATGAATCATAGTGATGCAAGATCATGCAAGATCATGCAAGATCCAGACTTATCCAGATCCATATTTGGAACTTTGCACCGCGCTGGTTTCAGAGTCGCTGATTCTCTCTAGTTACTATAGTTGTCCTCAAGTCCTCAAAGTGGGACTGTGACCTAATCCAAGATCCAAAATGGTGGAAAAAGGGCCACATCGAATTGCTGACATGTGTGCTGACGAGGAGACAGTAGAAACACGAACGCAGCAAAGAAATAGACAAATGACATCAAATGATGCTAATCAATGGTGAATCAAAACTACTTATACATTTAAACTAAGTTATCAATCGCAACATGAAACAAGATGACGCAACATTCTAGTACAGTGTAACATGAAAATACATGACAATAAAATGATATAACATGCGTATCACATGACAAATATGTGTATTTCATAGCAATTTCCAATCGCTGCTGGGAGGTGCTGCTAGAGAAGGCTCGCGAAGCCTCCGATGCCAGGCGATACCTGTCAGATCCATGACATGTCCAGCGACATGTCTAGCCATCGTTTGCAAAAATTGGTTGCACAATGAGCTTCAATAAGATTGTCAGATGATTCAGATGATATCATCAAATGACCAGATTTCTGATTCGATGGAGTCAGTGGTGTTTTGTTGGGAGTTCCTCGTTCGAGGCGGAAAACCAAAGACTTGGAAGAGCTTGTGGCAAAGGCTGAAACACCTCAGAAGTGACTTGGCATGAAGCACGAGGAACGAGGGGAGCGAGCAGAGACTCAGCAGAGAGTAAATCTCTACTATCTCCATGGGATATTTCTGACAGTCTGTACCTGCCCTCATCTCCTCAAATCCTTGTCATTTTGGTGTCCTTAGATACGGTGTTTGTGTTCCAAACTTTTCTATCTTGCCGTGCTTCCCATTGCTTCCCTGCTTCCTCTCAAAGGGGCAACGCATATCAACGCATACTACCAGTGTAGTTTTGCCAAGGGCACCACAGGAGCATTGCCGCATTGCCCATCTCTCTGAGCATTGCCAGATACTGACAGACTGCAGGTTGCTGCAGGTGTGCAACGATTTGGCGGCGCATTGGACGCATGTGCGGGCCAGGTCAGAGACTCAAGGCTGCCCAGGCGCCAAAAGATACATCGAGCATCATCGAGCTACAGGCTACATCATAAATCTTCCATAATCTTCCTATATCATCTTCCTTTGTGTTCTCAGATTTCTCAGTCTGGGTCACAGGAACTTTCAATGGATTTTGCTTTGGCTGAGACTAATTTGTAGCACAAGAGATGTCTGCAGTCAACATTCGGCATCCGAAAAGTTTGTGTTCATCGGCTTCATCGATCGCCAGTGCATGGTCGGAAGCTGCTGCCCGCGCAGTGCAACTTGCAGACGAGTTACTTCTGCCCGAGTGCGCCCATCGACCCGTCACGCCTTTGCCACTTGTGGTATCTTGTGGTAATACCATGGTATCTTTCATGTTCCGAACGTCTCAAGACGGTACTTGACACATCTTGACACATCTTGACGGGTCTGGAAGAGAAGCATTGCCGGATCTGAATTGGCGTTGTTTTTCGTTCCTCTTGAGGCTCGGATCTAAAGGGTACGGCCGAATCTCCGGCAAAGCCGGAGGGGACGATCCGAAAAAGCAGAACATGACAAAAAAAGCAAACATATTATACAAAAACAATAGAAACTATAGTTAAACATCAAACTAAAAATCATCCAAAAGCCTTTGAAACTCTTGCGATCCAACGATGTTCAATGTTTTGCATCCTTTTTGGCCTCAGATTTGACAATTGACAGCCTGGCCCAACATGACCAGCTTCGCTATCAAACTGAAGTCCGGTGGAGAACCCTTGGCGGGCTACACGTCCAGCAAGATCACTCCCGGTGTAGCCAGCCATAGCCCCAACCAAGACACTCCGTCTCTTTGTCATCACAAGCTTTAGTGCGAATCACAGATTTGCCATGGATTTCTCTTGCCCAGTCTAGAGGTTCCAGGCTGGGGCGAAATGGTAAGTCTGGTCTCTAACATACCCTAACATACCCTGAAAGATATGCCCGCACGCGTGAATATGGTAGGAATATCAATATGATATAAATATGGTAGGAATATGGTACAGATATGGTATGAATATGTTCTAAATGTATGGAAACGGGCTTTCCGATGTTTCTGGAGGTCCTGGGTATTTGACACACGTCGAACACGGCAGGCGATGAGAGGTGCAGTGCCAGTGCATCCAGAGCCTGCAAAGTCATCGTCGCCATCGCCAGGGGTCAAATTCCTTGGAAGTCAGGCGCTCCCAAAAGACTTCAACACACAAACAAAATCAAACAAATATTCACCCCGCTTCGCGTGGGGTGGCCGCCCACACCGCAGGTTTATTTCGGTCCGTGAGAGGGGCTAAGGGTGGTTTTCCCCCCGTGGGGGCTCTTCAGGCTAAGAAGTTTCAATAAGAAATCCTTCCAAAACATGGTTTTTGACAGTGTTTTTCCAATGTTTCCAGTCAAACAGACGGTAATTTACACGTTTTTTGCCATAAAGGCAGTAAATCCTTCCAAAACATTGCTTTTGACAGTGTTTTTGTAATGTTTCCAGTCAAGCATACGGTCATTTACACGTTTTTTGGCTCTAACGTCAGTCCAAAACACTTGTTTTTGCAGTGTTTTCAATGCTCTGGCATCCAAAAACCCTGCAAAATCTTGCTATGTACAATGTTTTTTTCATTTTTGGCCGTTTTTCCATTGCCGGAAAGCTACCAAAATGACCCAAAATTCCATTTCAATACCCTCTTGCGCTCAGACACCCAAAAATCCTCGAAAAATGTCGAAAACACCACCCTATTCTGGTCTCGGTGCGAAACCGTTTTTGGGCCCCCCCCCAGCTAAAGCTGATATAGCGACTGCTATATTAACAAATGTCATTGAGCATTTAGTGTTGCTGTTGCCCCCCAATAAGCACGCCTTCACCGCCAAAGCGGTGTGGGCGGATTTACTATAGTGAACTAAATATTTACAATAGTTAACTTAGTTAACTAGTTAACTGGTCACATTTTGTTGGAGATATTGAATTCCGGCCGGGATTTTTCAGTTCGACCAAGATTTTGGATAGTTCCAAGTGCTGCATGTCCCTTGTTGATGTTGTGTGGATCGAATGGATCGACTTTTGGTCATTTTGCATGTGCGACCTGTCTCCAGGGCTTAGGAGATGGCACGCACAGTCGGAGTGCCACGAGTCCGAGGAAAAAACCGAAGTCGGGACACCTGGTGATATTGTATGATAAATGTAGGATACACCTGGAGATATCTCAGATATTCCATACACATTCTCAGATGCTTTTTAGACATCGAAAGATGAGCCACGCAGACTGAGGACTAGTTAGATAATGTTAGATACCAATCAGACCAAAGCAAGACCTGAGATGAAAGATTTATTCAACCTGTTTCGTCTAGAAACAGAGGAAAATGCGTCAGACATAGACGATCATAGACATATACGACACAGAGAAAGACCGGAAGCAAGTCAGCTTTGACTCACAGGGAGCCAGAGCGCAAACCGCAGCAGATCCAATGGAAGCAGATCGTGCAGAGAATCAAGCGGTGCCCTCAGTGGAAGCGATGACAGTGGAAGCGATGACATCAATGGAGACGACTTGGGATCCTACTATGTCCTGCTTGGCCGAGGAAATTCAAATTGAGAGATCCAGAAAGGACGGCCGAATCACCACAAATCATCAGAAATCCAAGTACATCATCCTGAATCTGTACATCCAAGTCATCCAGCACTCTCATTCAATCATGGCATCCAGGATGGCCTGGATTCGGATGAAGAGTCGCCGGCTTGCTAGCAGCTGGAGATTCACCGTGCTGACCACGGTGTGAAGCTAAGAAACTGACACATTCATCATATATATCTATCTATATATATATTCTTACATTATATTACATTATATTATATATGATATTCTATACACATATTCTTATTTTACTATATTTATGACCACCAAATCAGTGGGAACACATCGAACATCACCAATTTTCAGAGCTCAGGCCCTCACGATCTATGCGCTTTTCGGCGATGATTTTCGCCTTTGTGTGACGCACAAACAAACGGATGAGCTCTTCAACGCTCTAACCCTCGTGGCTTGGCGAAGGGCGAAGGGCTTTGATGGTTTGATATGGTTTGATTCTCCAACTTGGAACGTCTTTTCTCCGGTCTCTTTGGACGCAACGCCTCTCGTAGACTCTACTTTTTGATACCTTTTGCGGATGCTAAGTTCTCTTGCCTCGTTTTTGGCGCGGAGATTGTGGCGAATAGTCTTGGCTTAGAGCTCAATTTCCAAACTGCCAGATCACTGACGTCAATAGCATGATACTGCAGACCGTTTCGAGACATTTGAACAGCCAAGATCGACCTTTACAAATCTTTGAGCCGAGCAGCCGAGGCCAAGAAGAATATTTTCTTGGCAGGGAGCTCAATAAGAGTCAGTGGCCAGGGTGATGAGTTGATGATTGCTGACTGAAGACGTTTCACTTTTGCACAGCAACGGCTCCGAAGCCAAGGATTTTTCTTTTGGCTAGATGTGGGTGCTACAGTTACACTGGTCTTTGATTTGACCTGGGTCCGGAACTGAGTGTAGAAGGATGGGCATAACATGGCATGACACCCTGCAGCCTTGCAGCCAAAAAGATACGCAGAACTCATCCGTCGTCATGCTGCATTTGATGCCTTATACTGTTTATACCTACGGAAAACATATCCTTATAATTCCTTATACACATCTCAGTCATCACTGTATGCCACTGGATGCTCAGCCGTATTCTGAATACTTCTGAATCTGAAGGTTTCCAAAGAACTTTTCTGTGCTTCATCAGAAGGAGAGGAGGCCGTGCATCGGTGCATCGTGCAGCTGTACATGGCCATGCTGTGAAGCAGCGGTGTATTTTGCTACGACCAGGCTCTGAAGACCAGCCGTGCTGGCCGTGCTGGAGCTAGAGCAAGCCGAAACCTGGATGAATTATGACATATCAATGACATATCAATGACATATCAATGACATTAATTATGACGGATTGCGATGAGTCGTCCATTGAAGCCACAGTTTGCTTTGAATAAGTTATTTTTGTTTTCAATATCTTTCAATCATTTTCAACTTCATTCACTTGTCAAAGGGGTTTTCCGGAAGTGGTTTAATTACATGCCTTGGCTTGGTGCATTTTAGGTTGTAAATAAGAAACAAATATTTCCAGTTGGGTGCGACTGTGCCAGGAACGGTTCGGATTATTCGGCTCATGCGGCTTGTCAAGCTCTACAAGGCGAATACGTGGAACATGTGTCCACATATGGAACCGTTAAAATCGAATGGATTTTCAGGGTTTATCATCATTCTTTGTGGGGATATTTTGTTTTTTTGAATTGCACAATTTTTGGACAATTTGGGACTAGGCTGTGTAATTTGCCATCGATTAGAATGGAACTTGAATCATCGTGACTACGGAAGTTTTGGTGGACCGTCAGACATATGGTTCTGGTGTTGTGTGGGCGGTCACGATGTCACGAGGCTTATTGGGTGGCAATGGAGAAACGGAAAGAGGAGGAAGCCAGGCGGGATGATACTAGTTGCTGTCAGACTGGGGCACTTCTGACTGAGCAGCCCGTGACAGCATCTCACCGTGGTTTGTGAGTTTGTGATGATTTCTGGTTTCTTTCGTGTTTCTTGCGAATGCTTGCGATGTCAAATGATGTCAAATGATGTGAAGTATCAAGGAAGCAGCGCCTGCTGGAGTTGAAGCCTGGTGAGACCATCCCGGACTGAGCTTTGAACCGTTGCCACATGTTGCCACTAGTGTCTCAGCTATGCCGTAGCCCTGGATTCGTGGATCAGCACGCTGTTCAGGAGGCGTCCGACTCCAAAACAATAAGTGAATTCAATGCCGGCAGCTCAGGTGTCATAGGTCGTGCTTGGTCCGTCAAATCCACCTGCGTTCCGGGTTTCATGTTGTGATTCACTTTTGCTTTCCGGTCTTGCTTTTGACAACTTTGGTGCGCCCACCAGGTCCGACAAGAAGGAGAAGACGAGGCGGGTTGCATCAAAACCTCCCAATGGCGACACTGAAATCCAGCAAACACACACAGACATCATTGCAGGAATTGCACTTGAGAAGTAAATGCAGGCTCAACCAAGGAAATCCACAAAAGATTAGTCATTTGGGCTCTCTCTAAGGATCCTCTGGTTGAACAATTCTACTCTTGGAATCTGAATCTTTCGGATTCCCAAAGTTGCTTCAACATGGTTTCAACCATGGTTTCAACATGGTTTCAACATGGTTTCAACATGGTTTCAGGATGACTTGGATGATGAGAACACCAAGCAAGAAGACCAGGACTCGGTACATCCCGATGCCTCCGATGCTGGCAGTGACGGGTGCCAGTCTAACAGAAAACCTATAGAAAACCCATAGAGAAGGAGGCTGAGGTCAACAGGTCAACACAAAACCCAAGATTTCACGAGTTTCAAGATCCAAGATACTTCCATATACTTCCTGTATCTTCCTGTCATCTGGTGCAGGAAGAACCGAAGCAAGAGACCCGCGTGGGCAAAAAGCTTTCGGCATGGGGCTGAGGGTTGTGGCATTGTACCATTGCCTCGAGTTTTTCTTTTTACAAGGCATTCTGACCGAAACACAAACGGCTAAACGAGAGGGAAGCAGCAAATCGGCGGGGACAGCTGCAAAGATCGCAGCCAACTCTGAAATGACAGTGGCACGATAGCCTAGTAGCGAACGTCGATTTGAACATTTGATTTTTAAGTATTTTGAAGAATTGTGTGCAACATTGTGCAACACATGCTTAAAGACCCCTATGATATCAAGTGCCACGCCTTGCGTGGGAACCAGCCGAGCCACACAGGTTAACGACCGTGTTGTACACACACAGTGCAACGAGTGCAACGCACACCAATAGGATCCAATAGGTACTTCCATTGAGCACCGATCGCACCATAAGAACCCCTTCAGACAAAACGAGATCAATCCATCTCAATGTGCTGAAAACTTTCAGTTTTCCTCAGGACATGACAACTCGTCGTGTGATCGTCTTGGTTTTGGCCGGGAGCTCATCGGGATGCGACAGATGCCACAAGGGGATCCCATGCTGCCGATGGTCAAAGCCTGATCTATGGATCTCAAAGCCTGCTGTCACTGCTGTCAGGTCATGCTGCTGGTCCTCCCGCAGTTTGACCCCTCCGGCAATGTGGGCATTTCCTCCTCAGACTTTCAGGAGATGGAATGTGGGACATTGCACAGCTGGGTCCCTTGATGGTGCACTGGGGAACTTACCCTGAGCTCACCCGACTAGTTGCATTCGAATTGAGGCAGTTTTGATTGGTTTTGTAATGTTTTGTAATGGTTTGTATTGTAATGTTTTGTATGTTTTCCTCCCGAATTCATACTGTTCAGTATGTTCAGTATGTTCAGTGTGACCTGCAGGACTCGGCCAAATTTGCCTCGAGCATGATTTTCGAGAGGTTAGCTGAACCTTTCTTGGCTTTTTTTGCTCACAGTGCTGACAGTGGAATCAGTGGAAATGCACGCTGTTCAGGTGGCGAGATTGGTGTGGCAACTCCAATGTCTCGGTGAAGATGGGAGCTTAGCAGATGAATGATGATGAATGATGACCGAGACATGGAGCGACATCTCAATGTGAAAACATGCAGACGCAGAGATATCTGCCATCAACTGTTTTGGCATGACGGGTTTGTGTGGGCAATGCTGTGAGGCCGTGGTGTATGGAGAGTTTGGCCACCCCAACGGAGAATCAAGAGCTTCACTACAGAATCTTGGCATAGCTCGGCAGATCTCACTTTCTTCCCACCTTTCCCACCTTTCCGCCCTTCCGCCTTTGTCCCAATGGCTCCTTTCTGCATTGTGATTGAGAGGTGAAGCCAAACCACAGTGATCTGCAAGGGTTTGAGAATATTTAGTGTCATGTCTGGAACAGTTCCTGCAACTTCCTGCATGCCGTTTGGGAGCCTAGGAAATCGTTATGAACTGGAGGCCACGCCTGTCCTTTTGTTTTGAGTTGACAGATCTGAACCCACCCGTCTCATGTATCCCAGACCAACCAGATACTTACACCGAGTGAGAAGCTAAGTGCAACAATTGCAACACACAGAGGAAAGAAATGGTAAGAAGTGGTAAGAGATGGTAAGAGATGGTAAGAGATGGTAAGAGATCCCAAGTCGCAGAGAACAGAGGACAGAGATCCAGAGAATGACAGAGACGGATCCATAAAAAACTCCAGAGATCCCGTTTGGAGGTGGCTTTGCTGCAGTTTTTGCACATCCACATCTCTGGCGGCTTTTTGTTCAGACTGTACTGGATAGGCGCGAGCCGATTTCTGCTTTTAGCATCTAGCGGTTTTTGATGCGACTAGATCTCGATAAGTGATTGGCATATATTGGCATCAAAGTATTTGATGTTTCCATTTTCATGGACTAATGCTGTAAACTGAACCGAAGGTCTCTTCCGTCTCTTCCTTTTTCTTGTACGTCTGCAGCTGTGTTAAAAGGCGCCATGTCCACATTGTGGGCAGACTCTGCATATTTGGGACAGCACCTGGGAAGCACTGGAAGAATCTTTTGATGTCAAAGATGTTCCTTCAGAAGCTTCGAAAATCTTCGAAAGCTTCAAGCCTCTTGAAATCCGGAAATCAGACTCTCAGAGACTGGCTGTCAAATTTGTCTCACTGGAGCTGATCACACAAGGTTGGCACCTTTGAATCAAGAACGCTGGCTGGGCACGGACCCGCTGGGATCCGCTGGGGTATAGGGGTGTGTATAGGTGTTCTGCCGGTGCAACTATACCTGGGTCCTGCCGGTGCCTGATGTGACAGCAGCATGTCCTCTGACATTTGGAGATCCGATGTGTACCCCTTTGCAGTCTCCAACGCAACTCTTGGCTCTGTCATCAGCCATCTGTGGATTTGCCACCAAAATTCCAAAATTCTTGGCAGCCGCTGTGGAAAGATTCAAACACCTTTGCATATTTGAATGATTTGAATGATTTCTGCCGCAGGACCTGCGTGTGAATTCAGCCAACTTAGATGACACTCGACTGCAAGTAGTTTCGCGAAGGACAAGCTGAGATGGCAGAAGCATCAGAAGCTGCCTAGCTAGCCTTGAATCGCTGCCAGACCACTTGGGATACCACCTACGTGCGGAATGACTTCTACCAGGGACCCGTCCAGTTCCCAGATGTTCCCAGTGCTTTTTGCAGAAACTGCTGGAATCCCATGGACGGCACTGAACTTTCCAAGGTCGGCTCTACGATCCCTTCTGCCACCAAGCAGAGGCCACGGTCGCAGTCGGGAAAGTGTCGGAAAATCGGTCGTTCATCTTGTTCTACATGGCGCCTCGGGTGAATACTTCTATGCTTCTCATGTCTCCATGCATGTCTTGATTCCCCTTTCGACATCTACCCATTCCGATCCATGCTGGCCATCAGTCTTGGCATTCAAAGAGGAACTGTGGCATTTTGGATCATTTTGGATCATTTTTCTCAATTCTGTGTCAACCGCAAGTGCAAGCAAGGCTGATCAACGTATGGACGGAAGAGTGTCAGACTGCCGTCGGTATTGTTGTGCAACCAGTGCCGCCCCCAAGCATGGCATTTTCATCGCATAGCTGCATACCTTGACAAATATAAAATAATATAACATAATATAAATGATACATAAAATGATCTAAGGATATATATCACATATATATATATCATATGTTTATCATATTTTCTAAGCTTGGCATTTTCGTGGAAGGCGATTTTCGTTGCTTTCTGATCCGTCCCGAGGAAGTGAGGGCCATGGTCTCCACTGGATGCTCCATCACCGAAGAGCTACGCTGTTCAGAGGCATTGTCACAGTTTCAAACGTAAACTAAACAGGTAAACTACACAGTTTCTGCTCGGATGAGAGTGGTAAGTCTGGTAATTTCTGGTAAATTTGAGGAAACTCTACCAGAAATGACTCTCTGCACAGACCCAACTTTTCCATGGCAGGTGGAGTATGTGACCCCCCTTACCTTCAGTTCAGAGGAGGGGGCACCGTTGGCGCATGTCTCCTGTCAGATAATTCCTTTGGACTTTGATCATATGATCATAGGTGACTTCCTAGCGATGGAAACACACTGGAGATATCTGGACGCAGGAGAGTGGTACCTTCTCCTTCGTGTTTGCCTTTGATCAGCGGGGCTTCACCCAGCTCGAGGCAGACATCAGACATCAGAGACCATGGCTACAGACACAGCCTACTCACCTGACTCAGCCTGACTGTCATTTTGTACAGACTCGCCGCGCAGGCTGGGCTTAGCATTGTACAGACTCTCTTCATTTGCTTCGCGGTGGGTGTTGGTGCCATGACCTTCTCCAAGGCCTGAAGATCGCAGTCGCCACTGCATGTTGTGGCGCATGTCGCTGCATGTTGGAATTAGATGCAATTAGTATGTAGTTCATGTATGTAAATGTAATTATATAAATTATATATGATTATATACAGTTTTATCTATTTTGCCATGCCATGCCATGCCTGTTGTCATGATATGTCGTGATATGTCGTGATATGTCGTGATGGTGCTGCCCAAGCCACCCATTCAGGATGCCAATGAGCTCCTTCTGAATCCGATAGTGGCTGCCTTAGCTCCACTGTCAGATCTGTCAGCGGACGCCACGCTGCTGGTTGCACCATTGCACCATTGCACCATTGCACCATCGCACCATTGACTTCACCAAGGAACGGATGATTGAGAAGATGGAAACCATCAAAGACAATCCATTGGAGGCTTTTTTTGTGTGTGCCATGTGGGGCACATTGTTGCGAGTGACTGCAACTGTCTCAAAATATCTGTTCAGACACTGTAGTTGATGTAGTTGCTGGTCCTTCATGTCAGTGTCAATACCCGCATACATTCATTTCAGCGCATCTCTTCCCAGTTGTGCCAAAAAGAAGAGCGTGTGTTCTGCACTTGTTTGTAGCCTGTTGTGGTGCTTCTCTGTCTCCACACTGCTGTCAAGCTGCGAAACACCGCATAAAGTCTTTGTACATGACATATCTGATCTATAAGTGTTCTAGCTCTCTTTGTACAACAGTTGTTTGCGTGGTATTTCAGAACCACACTGTCCAATATTGTCCACATTTTCAGATTTTTGTTCCTAGAGATCTCTGATGTGGAGGCTATGCGTTTGGGAGATCTCGAATTCCGACGAGAAGAAGTGGAAGAGGCATAACCTGCTCTGGGATGACCCTATACACCATACATCACCGTACTGCAAAACTACTTATTCTATCACTGAAGAGATTGAACTTGAGATCATGAGAAACTGCTAAGAATTTATATATGACATGGTGACATCATGTGACATCATGTGACATCATGTGACATCATGTGACATCATGTGACATCATGTGACATCATGTGACATCATGTGACATCGTGTTTTCATGTCATTTCGGCGTTTTTGCTTCAGCTGTCACATCTCACGTCTGACGACTTCCGACTTCCAGGCTCGCTTCCGAGACAAGCTCTCACAGATGAGCCGGCCTTGGCAGGCACGGCAGCGGCCAACGAATTCCAAAGATGACCAATGCAGAACCAATTTCGATTTCTGGAGCAGACTGGAGCATGCGAAAACCGATGATGTGCTGTTTCGTGCTCAACTGTGTTCCTTAAATAACTCGCTTGGCAGATCCTCTACAAGTACAGACATGCAAAGAAGTACAAGGACTTGCCGGGTCGACCAAGTCAAGACCTGCAGATTGAATGGTCAAAGCTGTGTAAAGCGAATTGGAAGCTGCTTGCACCCTTGATCACTCTTGTTTTGTGCCCTATTGTGACTATCATTATTCGACATCCTTCTTGAATGGATATTCAGCATGATTATTGTGATATATTGTGATTATCATTATGGAATTAAACACAATTTAACCATGAATTTTAGTTGTCACTGTTCCAAACATCGCTGATGCTTGGCGGCAGGAGCCTATGGAAACCGTGATGCTGGAGAAGACCATCATCAAGCCACTCGGAATGCGTCAATGGCACATTATAGTCAATGGCTTTATCGCTTTATCATAGTCATGTCAATCATAGGATGTAGTTACAATGAGAAAGAAGTCAGACATGATCATAGTGATAATATAACACAATAACATACAATAATACAATATAAGTAATATAACACAATAACAAACATGATACAGTCATTATCATTTTATATTTTATTTATATATTTTTATAACATTAACAATACATCACCATCACCATCACTGTCACTTCGTTGCAAAGCGTGCATCGTTCTGAGGCTCGGTGGATTACTGGCGCTGGGCTTCGGTGAAGCTGGTGCCGAAGTCATCGGGCAGAACATGAAGGCCGGACAAAAATCCAGACACGACGACACGACACGACACGACACGACACGACACGACACGACTGGAATGAGATGGGGTTGTTTCAAACTGGGGAAACCCAAGATACCCCAAGATATCCCAAGATATCCCAAGATATTCCGAGATCCAATGGGAAAAACATCATCATTTTCCCTTTGACTGCTATTTGACGCTCGATTTTGACGCTATCAACCGATCTAACCCATTTTGAGTTTCAAAGCCAGAGAGATCCGATGATCCCAATGGACTTCCACGGATTGCAAGCGGAAGAAACTCAACAAACTTACCCTCTGGTAATTTAACATAGCTATTGAAAATGGCCATTTACAGTGAGTTTTCCCATGAAAAATGATGATTTTCCATAGTTATGTAAACGTTTACCAGAGGGTAACAAACTTAACAAACTCAAACCTTTCAATCCTTTAGGCATTTTTGGGAGCCTTGAAAACAGTTTTTAAAGCTTGACCTTGCCCTTGAATAGGTCAGCGCCACGGCTGGAGTCAACGCAATGGTGCCCGGTTCAAAGGCGGGCAATTTTAAGCGGTCGTAGATATGTTGTAGATTAATGATGGTTAATATATGTTAATTATGATCTATAACATTAATTATGAATATATGATGTTATATCTATAGATTAATAATGGTTAATATTGAATAATCCACATTGTATTTGATGAATTAATCTATATTTACCATCATTAATCCACATCAAATTATGATGAATTTGATCTCCACAGTGCATTTTTTAATACTCTTGAGTCGACTCGACAGGTAGACGCCATCATTGGCTTTTGCAACATCCGACACTTCATGGAAGCCACAGAAGTGTTGAACTCAGAGCGTCTCTTCAACGTCGAGCCAAAGATAGAAGTTCTGGTGAATATGTGAATATGTTTTGTGTGTAACTTGGCCTTTCTCATGTTTTTTTCATTCACTTATGTTCACTTCATGAACTGTTTGACTGCTGGAAGGCTGGAAAGATCACACGTGGCACCGGGTCGCTGAGGTTTTAAAGGAAAAAGTGATGCTTTTTGCATTAGCCTCGACCAATCCTTGCATCAACTTGAATCAACTTGTGTTCCATGGTGTGTCATCACAGTGTCATCTGCTTTCAGAATCCGAAATTGTGCCTGTGCATTGTGTGCTGTATGTGTGCTGTAGCGATTCTGTGAGGTGAATCAAGTTGGAGAGATTGTGCACGGCTGTCGCATTCTTAGACCTGGAGTGTCCAAATTGCCAGCCATTCCCACGGCCACTCACAGCACCACGCACATGACAGTATGCTACATGAATGTCATATTCATATGTGCTGCGGTTGCTGATGAAGCCCTTGCACCATCTCAAATTCACGTCGCCGTGTTGAGGTGTTGATGATTTCCACGGAGCACCCAATCGGAACATTGGCGATGCTTTCCTAGTGATATGGCGGCTCTCAGGCGCTGTCCAATGTTGTCAGATGTTGTCAGCTTCATTTTGGGAACGTCTTGTGTTCAAATTCTACTGCTCGACCATGCTCGACCTGGAGCCATTTTTGAGGCAGCTCAGAAGAAAAACAGACGAAGCTGGCTGATATGGCTCTCATGTCATATGCCGGGGACCTTTGTCTTCGACATCCCAAGGAGATATCACTGTTCCGGGTCGGAACTTTACCTGGATCAAGAGCATCTGTCAGCGTCTGTGCTCTATCTCCTCAATTGTGTGCTTGAATTGTGGTCTGAGGTGAAAATCATTGCAGAGATCAACAAGCCGGGAGCTAAAGCACGGCTATCCTACTAACAGTTCCTAACATATTGACCAGTATTTCCAAATATTTCCAAAACAACTGAGCAATGAGTTTGGATCACCAAGGTCCAGAATTCTAGCAGGATATAGGTGGCATCCAGGCTTTCAATACCGCATCCAGGACTCTGAGTCATTTTTCAACACTTCCTACTTGTATGTCATGATGACATTATAGCACATTCCTATAATGGTGGTATGGTTTGTTCAGATGTGTTTACTTCCAGATTTCTGAACTTGCATCATGTTTCTGATATCGAATCCGGCCAGGACTTCCGAGTTTCTATGGGCTTCGGACTGCACCACGGATGGGCCATTGAGGCTCCCACTGTGTAGGTTTAGCAAGGTGACAGGATGTGACAGGTGAGGTGGAATGGATGTCCCTATGCGTCACCACTGAAGGGCGCGATTGGCAGCGAGTACAAGATCGATGCTTCCTACTTGTCGCCAAATGTCAGCGTTACTGCGAAGCTGGAGGCACAAGACATCAACGATTGAGACCCAACGCCCAAAACAATCGGAGATCAAGTTATATACACCCACAGATGCCCACGTGGCTAGCAGACACATGAGTGAGTCTGTTCAGAAGATCTATAAAATCCCAAACCAACTGTGCTACATCACTGCCGAATGTCCTGATGCTAGGTGTGGTCTCTTCATGTTTCTGTCTGCCAGGCTGCTACTTCCCAGTTTAAAGTCTGGATGCTCCTCTCCCACAGCATGGCTCCTTGGCTGCAAGGGAAAGTGTCCCAGAGAGCAATGCACTCAGAGTAAGCTGGATTTTCTTGGTAGAGTGACATCTTTGACTGCAGCACTCCGCGTTGATTGTTGATATTGTTGAGACTGGGCTAGTTCCCAAGGCTTTGTTCTCATTGGAATGTGACAACTCCTGTGAAGGTACATAAATGCAGTCACGAGGTGCGGGAGACAGCAGTGATGCATCGACGTTTCAAGACGTTCCTGCAACTTTCCTGAATCTTTCGCCTAACCTTTCCTGGTTGAAAGACTCCTCCAAATGATCAAAATGATGGTTCCACAAAAGTCAAACTTCCCACTGTGCTGGGTACCATTGGGTACCCCTTTGTAACATAGTTTCTAGCTATTTCAGTCTCTATTTCATGCTATTTCTGCCTCACCTCACTTTCAACCCTGCGCCGTGCCAGGTGGCATTGAGTTGCAGGCTCATTGACCACGTCACTGTCAGCGGCTCCCGGATTCCGATGCGAGTCTACACCATGGACCTTGACACTCGAAGGACTTGACGACTAAAGAGTGACCGATGTGACCCATGTGACACCGGGAGATGAAAACAGATGGAACCATTATTGGAACATCATGGAATAATATGGAATAATATGGAATAATATGAAATAATATGGAATAATTACAGCTGAGAAAATGAAGCAGGAAGAAACTTCTGAATTGTTGTTCACAAGACTACGACAACCTCAGACTTTGACAGCGCTGCTCTGTTTTGTGTCTCATTTTGCCAGGATTGCCGTCGAGGAGAAAGGCCCAGACAGGATCATCAGGCAGGGTTGATCATTTGTCGCCAATATCAGCACGAATCCAAAGTTCCACGGCTGGATGAGACATCTCAGTCACACCCCATGTCACAACGCATCAGGAATCGCTTCAAGATTCGCCAACTTCGAGAAGTTCGAAAGGGCGAAAAGATGGCGGAGGTTTCGCCACATCCATGAAACATCCAACATCCAACGGCCAATTCCTGGCCATTTTTCATCATTTTTCCATGTTTTCTCCACGTGTTTGGATGCGCAGTTTTGTGAAGGACTACCGGGTCTGGGATGGGATGACCAACAATCCGGTCAGGGACTTAGAGATACTCTATGATACTCTTGGCGCTGTCACTTTGCAGAAACATGTGATATAAAACGAGTTGTTGCTCAGACAATTCCACAAACATAGTTTAACATACTGTAATGTTCTGTGTGTTGAAATGGCATGAAAGGGCACAGCTGGGGACAGATTTCCATTTCGCTTCGATTCGCCCACTTTCCCACTGATTTCGTTTGAGGATGTGATGAAGATGCGTGCACTTTTCTCCGAAGAGTTTTTCCAGCGCTTTCACATGGCCTATCGAAATTACGAGGAGAGACTTCCGGTATCCGAGGGTCATACAATGACACTGTGACAAGACAGTGCAATGCAGATCAGACGCTGTTCAGGCTGGTGAATGGTTGGCTGCAAGGGATATGCTCCCCAGCTGCAACGAGCCAACAGTTGTAAGATTGTTAGATTTACATAGATTTTGATTTAAAATGATTTAAACTAGCAATCTTACAGTTGTGGGAGCATGTGGGAGCCAGACTCAGTGACTCAGCGAGGCTCTTCACTTGCCACTATCAACCACGTGCAGACATTGGAAGGCGGTTGGTCCAATCGGAGGCAGGAGAAGCTGCGTGAAGCTGCGTGCTGCCACAGTATTGCTTACTTCCTGAATAAGCAGTTCGTTTTTTCCAAAGAAGAACATGTTTTTTGTTTTTTTTGTTGAGGCATCCGTGTGCTGCTTCTTATCATTTGCACAAGATGTGGAATGTTGCAGGCAGATTGGCCAGAAGATGGTCCAACGGTGCCCAAGCTTTCTGCACTTCTGAACCATTGACATATCTTGACATCCTGGCGACATCAATTAACAACGTGTATATGGACATATATTGACATATTGACAACATATCATTCATGACATAACAACATGACAACATATGACAACAACCATAGACATCTTATGAAATCTTTGCATCCGTTTTTCTTCGTTTTTCTTTCATGCGAAAGCTCTTCTGCCGCCCAGGTGACGCTGCTGAAATTCATGCAACAGCGGAACTTCCAAGCACCCAGTGATTGGCCGGGCTACCGTTCCTTAGCGATCAGAAAAGCATGGAATGCCATAGAACTCATGCGACATGATGTGAAACGATAGAAATACAATAAATACGCTATATGCATGTGTGAACGTATATGCTATATGCTATATATATATAATATGTAATTTATATATATATATAGACAGATAGATAGTTGAAGATGCGTGAAGCGACTGAATATGTTGCGGATGCCAGAGATTGCCAAAGGCTTTGTATCCAATTCCAAACTCAAATTGTCAACGCCACCATTGTTGCAGCATGCCGGACACTGAGGAGAGCTGCCGGAGTAGCCGACAGCTTGAGTGACCCCAGTGCAGCTGCTGCCAAAGAGACAAGTTGTATTTTTAACGGTTACTTGGTTGAGAACTGATCAAGTTTTTGTCACTTTTGCTGGCTTTGGCGGTGTTTAGATGTGTTTGGGACATTGAGATAAGCCCATCTAGAAGATCTTTCCTTTGAAGAAGAATCCTACAGACTACAGAATCATGCAAGCGACTGGCTAACATTTCGCCCTGAGGCTGCAGTTGGAGCAGGAAATATTCTATTGGTGAAAGCCATATGACGCGCATCTGGTGGCAGGAATGTAAGAATCAACATGCACAATTCTCAGAATGTGAAAATCAAAGTCGCACTGTAGCCCAGAACCTTTGGATTCCTTTGGCATATCGCCTGATCGTCTTTGCTTTTTACATCTTTTTACCTTTTTGAAACTTGTCCCACATTCCTGCCGCGACAAATCCAAGATCATCCATGTTAGAAATTCTGGTTGACTCGTTGTCACGCTGACTAAAGAGGTTTGAAGACTCGTGATTTGGTACGTTGGACAGTGCATCGAATGCAACTTTCCAGCTTGATCCAGCCATGCTGTGAGCATCGAGCAAAGCACTTTCTGAGGGGTCACGTATGGTCACGTACAAACACGAGCGATTGTACATCAAGTATCATCAAGTCCCAAGAAACGTGTCCACCCCAGATTGGCCACACTGAAGCTCACAGCAGTTGTACCTATTGCAATTTACAAATTGCGAGAACGGCCGAAATCTATGGCATTGTGATCGCGCGTTTTTAGGCGCACAAGTGCGCGATGATGGCTCTTGAACTATCTACGGTAGTAGTCATGCATTGTCCAATTCCCGATTTTCACAGAAATCCATGATACGGCTAGAGAACCTAGAAGTGCACCAATTTTTTGCGCAAAATTTGTCGCTTCACTCGTGCTTTGTACGTTTTGTATCATTGTGTCTTCTTCAAATCCTTGAGAGCCTTCCACACTCTGCATTGCAACCATACCTGGTTTCGATTGTCTGCCATTGGTATATTATGATTAAGGTTGATTGTATATTGATATGTTATCAAGTATTCAAACATCTTGTAGAGCACAACAGGATGGTGCTCATTGGTTTCCGTTGCAAATCATCCATGGCAGAAGAGCAAGGGCCTGTTTCACAAATTTCGTCCCAAGCGCCCTACATGCAGAGCCCAATGAAAAGGAGCTTTGGTAGGACTTGCCGACCTGACAGCCATCTTCCGTTTGTGACTCGCAATCGGTTTTGAGGTCAGTTCCATTGCTGTGGGACACACAGTCAAACCATGTCTATGTCAAAACAAATGTGTGAAATGCAACACTCAGCATCCCCAATCGTGCAGAATATGATACTGTATCAACACCATCCGCAATGCGCCATTGTAATTGTACTGGTCCATCTGGTCCCCGTGGTCTCGCAGTTGGAGCTTGCTGCTGACAGCCTTCCGCAACGCCCAGCACGCGGACGTAACGTTCCTGGAGGAGGACAGAGTACTCCCATGGGGACGTAACGTTTTGATACGTTGTGGATTTCCATGGATTATGGGTTTGTCATGGTTTGTCCAATATTTGCAGTACCAAACAGTCCCCTACATATGGGGACACATCGCATCACATCACCATTTTTCCATCATTTTCCCCTTATCACAAGTGCTGTAAATTGGGGTATGCAGTGACAATCCCACATGTTTCTCTGGATTGCAGTTGGATGCAGACTCTGCAAACTTGGTAGCCTTCGCAATTTCTGCAGAAGTTGTAGGAAAAGAATTCGATCAATATGACCGAATTCACCAAATTCTTAACCAGGCTAACTATGGCTAACTGGGTTTACGGTATGACATATTGTGATATGTTTCATCATGTTTCGAGTGTCGGTTTGCACCGTGACAGGCTGAGTCTGCCTTGAGATTGGCCCCAGATGCAGAATTTGAGGCACCGAATCGAAACCACCGGGGGAGACCGGGAAGACCGGGGAGACCTTGGCCTCTGGAGGTCGTTGCGAGTTGCATTGCCTCTCTGGAGCGTTTGAACCTCCTTGCTGGAAGGCACCGGGGCACTGGTCACAGGGATGGTAAGGGCAAGAAATTTCAACCATCTCAGTTGTACAAAAGCTGAATTCAAGAGTAACATTGCCTCGAATTCAAGTGATTCAGGAAACGTGTGACAAGGCAGTGTGATGGAAGCTTGCTGAAATCAGTGGCAACCCGACTGTCCACAAAACCGTCGGCGTCTGAGACACGTCAGCTATGAGCACTTCAAAAGGATCCGTGCGTGCAAAATCCAAAGAAAATCATTGGATTGTAATCCAGCTTTTGATTGTCTGATGATGTTTGACTGTAATCCAATTTGGTGCGAGCATAGCCAGCACCATCTATAAGGTCGTTGACGCTGCCAGTGGTCGCTGGCTTGGGGAGCGCGTTTTCGTACCTTGGCAAGAGTAGTGACAGAGATACCTTTTTTTTTTGCAGAGAGAATCCTTAAAAATCCTTAAAACAACACAAGTGTTTCTGCCCTTTTGACGCATTTTTCAATACACTTTTTCTGTTTTGTTGTGCCAATGGCCAAGACTTTATTGTTGAGCAACTATAGGAGAGCTGGTTTGAAAGCAGAGGCTGGGTGCCAATGGGCTTGGTACTGTCAAACACACAAACTTTGTTCACAAATGTTCACAAAATATCACAAAATCATATTGATGCAGTGTTGCTTGGGAGGCGCTCCAAGTGATACTGCCAGTTCTAGAGATGGTGCCAGTGACCCCAGTGCTTCGAAGGTCGCAAGATATAAACGTGGTATACGCCGACACAAATGAAACCGATGGATTCCAACTTCCGGTGTCGTCTGGAACCACCTTTGATGCGCGGTCATATGCTTTCTCTGGATCAGATCACCAGCCATGAACATGTCTCAATCTCCATGCGCAAGAAATAAGCCTCAGAACTTTCAGTGCAGCAATGGACTGCGAATAACATATGAAACTAGACTCGAGAGCTGGTGAGAAGTGTAAATTTGTTGCATCTGCTCCGATGTATAGCGATGTTTTGCCTATGAAGTACTTCGGATAGACCGGATACGTCCAGAAATAAATATGTCAAAATACTGTATGTCATGTCATGACGTCATATCACAGGGGCTGAGACCTTTCTCGCTCCCCTGTTTCGCCTCACTGGCTTCATCCCATGGATCGCTACATGGAGCTCGACTTAACCGAAAGCGTGGAACCCAGCTGTCAGATGCTGTCAGCATGCCAGTTGCAATGTCAGTGATGCAACTGTTGCAACTGGCATGCCAGTTGCATGTGCCACATGATCTACAATATCTACATGCCACGAAAAGGCACAGAATGACACTGTGGGGCCCGTGATTCGCAGGTTTGGTGCCTTCGCTGCCTTCAGAACCAGGCCGTGACGACACGGAGCGGTTCGAGCCTCGGACCGAACTGCGCCATGCGATGTGTTCGATCGAAGAAATCACCGAGGCGGCGCGTGGGTGTCCGGTCTATGAATGGTGACCCGTATGTTTGAAGCTCAGGTGGCTCAGGTTCATTCAGGTTCGGGGTGCGGCATCACCGGGTTTGAACAAGTCTAGCGATGATGTCGTTGGATGCGGTTCTTACTTACCGAATGACCCACAAGCTTAGGACGTCACAGTGTGTGAAGATGACTGCGTGGGAAGCATCCGGAAGATGTTGAGACATCGAACCTGGGCTCACGTTGAATCTCGGCGAAAGATCTCATGATCCAATCCCCTGAAGATCCTGAAGCATTTCCCCAATGGGCTCCAGGAGTGAATATGGATCCAATAGATTCCAATACATCTCAAGAGATTAGGATCGATTAGGCTGATTACCTGATATGATTAATGAACCTAAATGAACCGAATATTTCTAATCATATTCATATCAGATAATATTACTAATATTACCAATGAACCTAATATTGCAAATCATCTTACTCATATTCTGTGGCCCTTTCGTATCCTTTCGTGCTGTCAGGAGCTACTTTGCGATGGATGCGAAGATCCCCTGAACGATAAGGAGCTGGTGAAGAACCTGCCGCTGGGCCCGTTGCACATGGTGCCCTGCCTGAAACGTGGCAAGATGAGGCAATTAAATGCACTTAAAGGGGGCACCATGATAAAGGTGTTTTTTGGGGGAACCACCCACACGATCCGATCATGATCCTACTTTTTTTTGGTAGATTTTGGTCTCTGAAAAGCATTAAAAACATTTCAAAACCGCCTTTTACTCAAGGATTTCAACTTGCAAATCTTGCGAATCGAGGTCATTGTCCCATCCCAGCTGGTGATGGCTTGTGTTGGAAAGGAGCTCATTCTATGGGGCTGTCAATGTGGCACAGTTGAGACTCTTGCGGTGTTTAAGTCTGCTCCAACTGCACTACTTGCCGATGTGTCATCGCAGCGCGTATTGGTGGGCTGCCACAATGGTCACCTTGAGCTCTTGAAGATCAACCAGAAATGGTCGCTGGACTTTGAGCATGACCCTGGCCGCGGCTGGGTCACAGCTATACAGGCCTTCTGGAAGGATGACCTTGCGGTGGTGGCGTTCCACAATTACGACTCAGAGCTGGTCATCTACGATTTGACGAAGGGGGACTGCTTGAGACGTCTTCCTCAGCCTGAGGAGGTGATGCCGAATCAGATGGCAGTTGGGATTTCAGGCGTGCTATCCATGCTATCCATGCTCCAGCTTCAGGCATCAAGGCATGTTCGATCTATTTCGATATTATGTTTATAGATGTGTTAAGATCTGTTAACAATTGTTCAAGACCAAGGGTGGAAGATTGATATAATATGTTTGATATAATATGATTCATGGAATTGGATGTACTCTGCATCGAGGAGGTGCCAAGATGCCTAAAACTACCAAGGGAAACACTGTAGCTGAATAGAGCAGATCCGGTATGGTGAGATATTGCGAGGAGTCCAAGTCCAAGGTTAAGACTTCAAAGCTAATTCCGTTAGCTTCCTCAGTGTGCTATCTTTTTCCATTTCATCAAATTGTGGGAAAGATTGTGAGCCAAGAGCCAAGGTTCCATTTCTTCAATTTCCTGAAGCTGTTTCAGTTGATTTCAGTTGAGAAATCAGTTGATTTCAGCTTTTCCGAGGCGGTCACAAGATCTGCATCAGCGCATGCCTCGGCGTGGGTCCGGTGATCTCGGTGATCTCGGAGAGCTCGGAGGTCGTGGAGCCCCGGGGACGCCCTCTCAGTCAGCTCTCTGACAGCGGAACCGCCCTTGATGTGTGCTTCAACCAGAAGCGGATCGTCACAGGCACGGTGAATTCAGATGTTAAAAAAAGCTGTCCTTTAGCTGTTTTATAGAATGGGCTAGCGCCCTGGTGCCGCCGACCCCCCCTATTTGGGGGGTCCTGTAGAGAGAGGGAGAGAGAGAGAGAGAGAGAGAAAGATAGATGGATAGATGGATAGATACATGGTTGTCCTTTAGATTTGTTTATCTAAACAAATAGAGGGTGCCGCTGATGCCGCTTGGATGGTTACATAGAGGCCATGTTGGGTCACACCTCTCCTCCATGTGCTCTTTCAACCTCATGCATTCAAACTTTCTTGTTAGTTCTTGTAATCTTCTCTGTTGCCGTAGCCACATGTTGCCTAAGAACAGAGGGCTGGAACAGCAAGGGCAGAGGCTATGTGCACGCAAACGGCAGGTTGCAACACTGGAACAGCACAGGCTTACAGCCACAGGGCTTGGTGGAACAGCAAAGGCTCACAGCAGGGCTTGGTGGGAGCTGCCGCGACGGATTTGAAGCATTTTAGGCGTTTTAGGGGTTTGGAGCCTGGCAAACGGCAGGCTTGAACGCCCTAAGAGCAGAGGGCTATGTGCAGGCAAACGGCAGGTTCCAACGCTGGAACAGCAAAGGCTCACAGCAGGGCTTGGTGGAAGCTGCCGCGACGGATTTGAAGCATTTTAGGCTTTTTAGGGGTTTGGAGCCTGGCAAACGGCAGGCTTGAACGCCCTAAGAACAGAGGGCTATGTGCAGGCAAACGGCAGGTTCCAACGCTGGAACAGCAAAGGCTCACAGCAGGGCTTGGTGGAAGCTGCCGCGACGGATTTGAAGCATTTTAGGCGTTTTAGGGGTTTGGAGCCTGGCAAACGGCAGGCTTGAACGCCCTAAGAACAGAGGGCTATCCAACGCTGGAACAGCAAAGGCTCACAGCAGGGCTTGGTGGAAGCTGCCGCGACGGATTTGAAGCATTTTAGGCGTTTTAGGGGTTTGGAGCCTGGCAAACGGCAGGCTTGAACGCCCTAAGAACAGAGGGCTATCCAACGCTGGAACAGCAAAGGCTCACAGCAGGGCTTGGTGGAAGCTGCCGCGACGGATTTGAAGCATTTTAGGCGTTTTAGGGGTTTGGAGCCTGGCAAACGGCAGGCTTGAACGCCCTAAGAACAGAGGGCTATGTGCAGGCAAACGGCAGGTTCCAACGCTGGAACAGCAAAGGCTCACAGCAGGGCTTGGTGGAAGCTGCCGCGACGGATTTGAAGCATTTTAGGCGTTTTAGGGGTTTGGAGCCTGGCAAACGGCAGGCTTGAACGCCCTAAGAACAGAGGGCTATGTGCAGGCAAACGGCAGGTTCCAACGCTGGAACAGCAAAGGCTCACAGCAGGGCTTGGTGGAAGCTGCCGCGACGGATTTGAAGCATTTTAGGCTTTTTAGGGGTTTGGACTCTAAGAACAGGCCTCCGAGTACACGCCGGCAGTGGTTCATCTACAAGGTGGAGGCGGGATCACAGCTGTGATAGCGAAGTGTACCAGAAGAGTCCCAGCAGGAATGCGTCCTGCCGTCAAGAGGACACAAAATGTGGTACTGAAAAACAGATGACAAGAGCCCTCAAGAGTGGAAACTTGAGCCACTTTGTAATTAGATTGCTCTGCCTGCTTTGCTGCTTGGGGAATGCGTTTGGGTTTCCCCAAAACTTCACCCCCAATTCGATTGGATCCCATCTTATCACTTCATGTGTCCTGGACACATCCAGTGATAACACGTTTCAGTTTTTGACTACAGGCCCTTCGGGCCCCCAGGTGCCAAAGTGCACCGACCCGGTGTGCGATGGGTGCGTGCCATGGACTGCAATTCATCCGTTGGATGACCTGGCGGAGCATTGGCCACATTGCTTCTATAGTGACCTGTCGGCTTCGTTCTGTGAGCTCATGCCTCGGGCTTTTGAGAACCCCAAGACCAACAGTGCTGGGTTTCGTGCGGATTTGTCTGCATGTGAGGTGACAGAGTCGTCATTTGAGGTGTTGACTGATGCCAGACCGATTGGATCTACATTGGCTATCTATGAGGTGCAGCAGACTCAAGCCAAGACTGGTTTTGCACTCCTCTCCGGACTCGCTACAAGATGGATCAGGTATTTGCTTTCTGCGCTACACGACCGACGTTACCATCTTGTGCTTTGGTATCCTATCCTGGGCCTCATCGGTGACAAGCTGGATGCCAATGTTCCGTATTGTGCTCTCACTTTCAGAAAGGGTTTCTGCAACAGTTTTCTGTTTCGTTTGCTTGTCGGTGTTGTTTTGTTTTGGACATTCTCCTCCCCCAAACAAGCCCAAAAAGTTTCGTCGTCGTCCTAAGGGAATTTCGACGAGGAGCCCTAAGGGTCTTAATGGAATATGTAGGATCAAATTTCTACCATGCAGATGGATTTCAAAACATGGACGGGTGCGTCAAGCCAGACTGAAATGGCGATGGCGAACCCGAAGGATCAGAAGCGACAGGTTGAAGTGGTGGTTAGCAGGCAAACGTCGTGCAAACAGGGGCTGTTCGAACTCCAAAACGAAATCAACTCCTGTGAAAGGCTTAACTTTGAGAGATTGTGTCGTGGCTCGTGTCAAATCGGTTGCCGCTTGTCTTTTAAAGATGTGGACTTGGTTCTCTACTTTAGACCATGATCCTTACTTGGGAGTGCGAGTAGGAGAAGCAACTCACCCGGGGCCTGCAGGCAGCAGGGTAACCAAACGACGTAGAGCAGCTAAGCAAGCTGCAGGTTTGCCTGGTGAACTTGTTCAACAGGTTGTCCAAGCCGTTTTCCAAGCTTTGGCTCAGCAAGGTTTCCGTTTTCCAGAACAACCTAAACCGGCTAAAAAGAATACGGTCAAGACTGAAAAGGAGAAAAACCTAAACATGCCAGCTCCGCCACCAGTGCCCGAGCGTGTCAGTTTTTATCCACCAACAAAGGGTCCAGGTGCGTCCAAGTCAGTTGTTGGCGGCGCAAGTGGTGCTGACCCTCCAAGAATGCCCAAATCTCAGGCGCAAAAGACTCAGACGAAGAGTTGGGTCACGGTTGCAGCTACGCCCTCAGACCAAGGTAGAGGTCGTTTGTTGCCTTCAGTCTGGCCACTAAAGGCAGTTCAGCCAGTTGCGACAGTTCGGAAACAGCTTGAAGAAGGAGTATGGCCAGAAGGCCAAGTCACATGGTGTCATTCCAAAGAAGAGATCGATCAACTTCAAGCTCTGTGCAAGCTACATGAGTTGCCTAACCAGCCCTTTGCTTTGGGCCTCAGAGTTGACGGAGTTTCATCTTTCACTGGGGGGTGGTGGCTTTAGCTCAAAACTGCAAGCAGCGATGGGCTCTTGAAAAGCATGGCTTCAAGTCCAGCCAGATCAGCTCCGAGATCCGCATCCTCGGGATCGACTTTGTGAGCTATGGCAAGGATGGTGGGCGCACCGCTCAGTCTAGAGTCTCTGGGGCTTTGAAGCTGACCGACAAGCTTTGCACGGCGCCTATCCCTGTGGATGTGAAACGGGATTTGTTCCGTACTAGGGTGATTCCACTTGCTTCTTGGGGTTGGTGGTTGTTTGATATCCCAAAAAAGTTTCTCAATCAACTCTTTGCGAGGTTTCGAAAGGTTGTTTTTGTGCATGGCATGTGCAGCAGGGATCTGAGAGTGCTTCTCGAAGGTCACCGCCAGTGCCCTTGGTTCATGTCTTTGGTTGGTTGCGTGGCAAACTTCCTTCAGGCACACCAGGCGGGGCTTCAAGCCACCTCTTGGACTAACCGGATTCATCGAGCTCTCATTGACTTGGGCTGGTCACCTGGATCCAATGGTATGTGGTTTCATCCTCATGAAGGTGTCTTGCGATTGCTTCAATCCAACAAGGACTCCATCATGCACCAGCTTCGGGCTTCTTGGAGAAGGGTGAGATGGAATGCTTTCCTGCGTATGAAGCGCAGGGATAGCCGTCAGCTCATGGCGGAACAGGTTCCTTTTGATGCAACTCGCTACAAGCGAGCTTCTAAGGATTTTGCTTCAGGTGATGGACATGTTCGTGCAGTCCTGACAGGTGCTGCTTTATCCAATTGTGTTTATCAGGTCATTCTCGACGGTGAAGCACATCCAGGATGTGTTTGGTGTGGAGATGAGGAGGTCTATCCTACTTGGCATCATTTTTGTTGGTCTTGCCCCAGGTTTGCGGCTACACGGCCCTCAGGCTATGAGAAGTTCGATCTCTTGCAACTTCGTCTTGGTTGGAGAGCTTGCTCTACATCTTGCTCTTTGGCTCACATGGCCCATGTGCGATGCGTTGTCTTGGCAGCCAGTCGGCTGAATGTCCCTGAAGATGAGGACGTGGACGACGCTGCCGAGTAACCTCTTTTGGTAGCTGGTGTTACGATCCTTGGGTCTGGCATCAGTCAACACATCACACTCACGCCCTAAGAACAGAGGGCTATGTGCAGGCAAACGGCAGGCTGCGCAAACGGCAGGTTGCAACACTGGAACAGCACAGGCTTACGGCCACAGGGCTTGGTGGAAGCCTTGGACAATGTGAAGGCCATGGGCGTGACAAAGCAAGTTCCACACCTCCGGTGGTCCCAGGCGCCGCCCCTGCCTTGGAGAAGGCCGGGGTCGGCGGATATCCTTTTATATCGTTTTATATCCTTTTATGTTTTTTTCATGTGGATACAGTATCTATGATATGTTATGATATGTTATGATATGTTATGATATGCTATGTTATGTTATGACAGTCATAGGATGTCATAGGTGTTTGCCAATGTTCGGATTCTCAGGACAAGCTGAAACAGACTACGGTAGACGACGTGTCAAATTGATGAAATCGATCCACTTGCACAGGAACCACCACCGGAGCGCTGGAACTGTGGAACTTCTCCACAGGACGCCTGGGATGTTTTGTCCAGGATCAGGACAAAGCAGTGTGCACTAGTGAAATTGCGATAGAAACGAAATATCATGACATATATCATGCAGATGTATATAATATGTATAACTAATGTATAACTATACGTAACTTAAGTATATAACATGTAACAATCGAATCGGGTAGCATTGGCTTGATTTGCAGGACAGATCGAGCATGTGAAGGCAGTGCGACCGCAAGAACGCCAGCCAAATATTCGAGCTATTGCTGCAGACTGGTCCACGGACTGCCTGGATCTTTTCAGAACTGAGCACAGGAAATCAATAGAATCAATATAGACTCAATAGAATATCATAGAATATCATCCTTAGATTTCCATCGTGAATTCCTCTGGCAAAACATGAAGTAGGAATTGACAGCCGTGCTCGCGAGGAGAGAGCTGTTACTGCGAGCAGTAATGGAGCGCTCCGTTTGTGGGATCTAGACCACGGCTGCATGCGGGGATCTCAATTCCTTTTTTTGCTGCGTGCACTCAGCCACAGCCAACATGAACGTCAGATGGAACTAGAGACAGCTAGTAGCAGCTAGTGGCAGCTAGTAGCAGCTGGCACAGTGATCGCAGCATCTTCCATCTGAGACTTGCCCACTGCATCGGACTGCATCGTGCCCGAGGCTTTCTCAGATCCAGGGTCAGCTTCCCAGCCAAGTCACGGAGATATGCGATGCGAAAGACGTATGGGGTCTCGCCCCATGCGGAGCACGCAGTTTAACACATCGATAACACATCGATAACACATCGATAATACTATGAGTCCCTATGACACCCTATGACATCCTGTGACCAAGGTCATGGTAAGCTACTTTCGTGCATATCAGCAAACTTCGGCGAAGGCACCTCATGTGCAACAGATGTGCAGCAAAATTCTTCAGGTTTGGCACAAGTTGCAGAGATTTCCTGTTTTCTTGTCATCTTTCTGTTTTGGGAAGACCCCACTGTTCCTTTGTGGTTGCTTAAGTTGTTTCCATGTTGTTTAGAAGACTCCAGACTTACTTCAGACACTTCCAAAGTCATCGCATTTCTTTCACAGTTTCACACGCTGACAGGAGGTGGACTACTGTGCACTTCTGGCTTGGATCGCATGATGAAACTCTGGAGGATCAAGGCACTGGAAGAGCAGCGTTCCTGTGCAAAAGCTATTGGAGAGCAGTTTTTTTTAGGAAGGAATCTTGAGACATCTATGAGACATCTATGAGACATCTATGAGACATCAGACATCTTAAGACCTTTGAAGCCAAAGAAATCCCAGAAAGCTGCTGTTTTCAGACCAGAGATTCCGGCGACATCGAGCCCATCGAGCTCATCAGTCAGATGCCGCAGACGCCGAAGGTCCCGCAATGGGGGGAATCTAACCTTCTACATCCAAAAAAATCGGAGAAATGCTAAACTTTAATTTTAACATATGAAAAAGTGATGATTTTCCAATTGGTGATGAACCATGATTGAACACTTAAGGGTTATCTTGGGTTGTTGATAAAAGGACTATTGGGAAGGGACCCCATTGTTGAATCCATTGGATCCAGTGCCAGGTCCACGGCTCCACTCTTTTCTCCAACAAAAACGGGCTTCCAACGGGGAGCAAACCGGGAGCAAACCGGGAGCAAACCGGGAGCAAATTTCATACATGGAAAGGGTATGGAAAAGGTAGTCACATGTATTCACTAAGTACATCTAAGTACCTAAACTTGTAAACTAGCTACGAATAGTGCACTCTTCGTGCACTCTTTGTGTTAAAATTTCTGCAGTTGATTTGTTTCTCAGAAAACACAGATATATCTCTCCAATATCTCTCCAATATCTCTTTACAAAGTTCTTTAGCTATGCGACCAAGCGACCTGAGCCATGGTTGGTTATGGCGACTCTGCGAACTGGGCAGATCAAAATGAGGACGGCAGCTAACGCGGCAGCGATAGCGAGTTCGGGGGGTTGGGGCCATTGACACGGCGATCATCCTTTGCTCATCTTTCCAGGACTGTGGACAGGAAGCTGCAGGTGATGACTGGCAGCAGCTGAGTTGGATAGCATTTGCTTGGACTCTGGTTTCTTGCCGGCATAAGCGCTGCAAGATGCTGCAAGCGACTGATGAATCCGCGGTTGCCCGTACAAGTGTCTCTTCGCCATGCCAACCCATTGCGTATTCCATCCATTTCCATCTTAAAATTACATAAAATTACTGCATTCGTAGCATTTCGAAGCTTTTCTTTCGTCACAGAGGCAACTTCTGCTGCGCTCATGTCTCATGCAAAGTACCTGGGACGGCAGAATTTGGAGAAGGGCCGCCTGAAGCAGTTCAATGGCAACTTGGCATATGTGGATATGCAGCGATATGCAGGATGCAGCTCTGACCATGACATCATTATGACATCCATGACCTGAACTGCTATGCGATTTGTGAGTCCTTTGGAAATTGCATGATGTGTTCCATAAGTGTTCCATTGCAATTTCGGGCTCTGGCTCCAGCAGTTTTGCACACATCATTTCGCGACTCCTTTTAGCACTCCTTTATTCTCGCAGCCATGGGTGACGAAGAAGTTGCCGCGCTTGTGGTGGACAACGGAAGCGGAATGTGCAAGGCCGGCTTTGCAGGTGATGATGCTCCACGAGCAGTTTTCCCATCCATTGTTGGCCGGCCAAAGATGCCTGGAATCATGGTTGGCATGGACCAGAAGGACAGCTATGTAGGAGACGAGGCGCAGAGCAAGCGAGGTGTGCTGACCTTGAAGTATCCCATTGAGCATGGCATCGTCACCAATTGGGATGACATGGAGCTTTGGTGAAAAGCACGTAGAAGACTCTTTGTGATTCTTTTTGAACCTCCCGACATCTCTCTAGTGAGTTTGAGTTTTGGTCAAGTACTTTACTTTCAGATATTTTTAGCTAAATTCTGAGCAGATGTTACACATGTTCCAGATTGTTTGTGGGAGGGAGAGAGATTCAACATGAGTGAAGCACCCTTTGCATCTTTGAAGTCTTGGAAGCTTTTGAAGTCTTGGAAGACATGAGTATCAGCTTTCAGATTCATGCAGATTCCTTGTGATGCAAAGCTTAAGAAAACTAAGGAGAAGATTTGGCATCACACCTTCTACAACGAGCTGCGTGTAGCTCCGGAAGAGCATCCAGTCTTGCTGACTGAAGCTCCCTTGAACCCAAAGGCCAACCGTGAACGCATGACTCAGATCATGTTCGAGACCTTCAACGTGCCTGCAATGTATGTTGCAATCCAGGCTGTGCTGTCCTTGTATGCATCTGGCCGAACCACCGGAATTGTGATGGACAGTGGCGACGGTGTGAGCCACACCGTGCCCATCTATGAGGGCTATGCTTTGCCTCATGCCATTCTGCGTTTGGACTTGGCTGGTCGTGACCTTACGGAGTACATGATGAAGATCCTCACTGAGCGCGGCTACTCCTTCACCACCACCGCTGAGCGCGAGATTGTTCGAGACGTCAAGGCCCGTTTGGAGAATGAGATGTAGAGGTAGTATACAAGGGGATGTGAGGTGTATGTAAGAGAGTGGTATCGACCCCCTGCTAGTACCATCGTTGCATTAATGTATATTAACGTACAAAGGAATTTAAAGGATAAGTCATGATTAGAATCAGGATGACACATGCTGATGAAACATGCTGATGAAAGATGTTGATGAACGATGTGAACCACCCTTGGGATATGTGATTGAGCAAAGTGAGGAGGCCACCATTGCCTGCTAGTAATCAGTAGACAGCTCCACTACTTGCTGAGTTAGATCACCACTGACAGCGCACGACAGCCGAAATTATATTTGACAGTTGGAGGTGCTATGAGACCACCTCCTGCTCCTTGACCTCGGTGGCACCGGGCCACAGCAACGACTGTGGTGCGAAGGTTCTCCCGAATGAGGTCATGGAATATGACAAGCAGATTTGGTGGCATGCAGATTTGTGTGTGCCAGCATTGTAAAGAGCACATGAGTGGTGGAGAGGTGAGAGAATTGGCGAGGCTTCACATCCAGGTCCGCCTGGTGGTGCGGCAGCGACTCGCCGCAAACGAGAAGAGAAGAATGAGGATGCTAGCTTCAACGTCATGGGGATGGACTTGGCTAGCTTGGTGAAACCCCTCATTGAGAAAGTGATGAAGGAGATCGTGACAAAGCTTTTGACTAGCAATGGTTTGGATGCTTTGGTTGGCTCACTTTCTGGTGGACGTGCCGTGAAGAAGGTGAAGCGTGCAAAGCGCAAGAAAAGACGTGGAAAGCAGACTTCTCTTGAGGTTAGCAAGACTGAGAAGGCCGGCAGCACAGAGCCGCCCAGCGAAGAAACCACAGCAGGAACCCAAGAACAGTTCCCAGCAGCGTGGTGCGGACATGACCCGGGCCCCGGACAAGAAGTCCAAGTCTGAGTCTGGTGAGTGGCAGACGGTCAGGCGCAAGCCTCCCCAGGGAGAATGGAGCCTGAGACAAAAGGATTGGGATAGCGATGTGATTGAGTATTCCCAGGTCGCGCAGAAGCTGCAGTCGTCCACTGGAGTTTTCAAAGCTGTGGTGCTTGTTGACCAGGAGCAGTTGGATGTGTTGAAGGTACTTTTGGAAAGTTCCCACAAGGCATATGGTATTGCAGCGATCGTGCCTGGCCCAGGCGAGGGGCTTGAGAAGATTCCTGGGGAGATTAGCGGTGTGCTTGCCTTTCGAAAGGCTCGTGTTTGGAAGATTTGGAGTGCGGGTATTCAAGCGCCAGCAGCCAAAGGTAGCTCTTCGTCCACCTTCAAGGTCACGCCCAAAGAGACAGTCGTTCTCTCAGTTCGTGTGTTGGAGCGCTTTCTTCCAGCGTCTGTTTGGCAGGAGGCGAAGGCTTCCCCTCAAAGGTTTGTGCATAGATGGCTGGCTTCTCGCAAGATGAGAGCCGAGGACAGTTGGAGTTGGAAGGTTGAAAGAACTGGCACCAAAGGCATCGAAAGCTACAAACTTTTTGGTTTGATGCGTGTCTTGAAAGACAGCATGAGTGCCATGTTGGCTTTGTCAGGTGATGGGCTCTTTGTTGAAGCTACACGGCATAACCCTATGGAGGAGCATCATATCACTTGGGTTGAGAAGATTGACACAGAATCCGATGAGGAATATCTTTCTCGAGCCAGGCGGCTTGGTTCTGCAATGGGTGTGGTGATTGGTAGGTATCAGCTTGGATATCGGATCAGTGGCAAATCTGACAAGCCGCTGCCGCGAGTGTGGATTGCCGAGTCCTTGCCTCGTGATTGGGATGCTGATACTGTTCAGAGTTTGCTGCAAAATCATTTCACTGATGTTCACATGTTGAGTCAGCGTCGCAGGCGTGGGGATTGCGATTTTTTCTTTAGAGCTGCGGCAAAGGAGGATTGCGATTTGGTTGCGCTGCCAACTGAAATAGATGGCAGCACGCTTGTGTTCTGGGCTCGTTGGGCTCCTCCCAGGCGAGTGCAAGCGCAGTTTAAGCAAATCCGTCCTATGGCGAGATGGGATTTGCGGCAGGACAAGGCAAAGGATCATGTTGAGATCCAAGCGTCACCAAAGGAGACGACGGCTCAGGATACCAAAGGACGTGATCTTCCGGCGGCTAAGAAGGTTGTCCTCAATGTGCGCAGCGTGCCTGCAGGAACGGTCATTGAAACAGTCGCTGGCGATGGAAGTTGCTGGTACAATGCTTTTGCAGGTGCCATGAATTTTTTCCATAACCAGGACTTGGATCCTCTGATGCTTCGTGCGGAAGTCATTACCCATATGCAGAAGAATCAGGAGCATTATTCACAAGTGTGGTGCGGGGAAGCCCCTGATGGCAGCAGACTTTGGAGCCAAAAGGAGCCTGCTGCTATGAAACAGCCGGCCTTCAGCCCACCACGGCGTGGTCAGGTGAGTTGGAAACTGCGGCTTTGGGCCGTCGATACAACGTCAAGATTGTTGTGGTGCCAAAATGTGCGGATTTTCGCCTTGCTGCGCTCCACCGAAAGGGGCCCAAATGCGTTGTGCTGTGGTTCACTGGAACGCATTTTGATTTTCTGAAGCTGGTTGATGGCAAGGAGCTCCCGTCTGATCTGACCGGAGTTAGTGATGATTTAGGTTACAGCTTTCGAGCAGGCGGGCATGACGATGATCAACTCTCCACTCACACGGTGTGGACTGACCCCACATTGTGTCCTGCTGGCCACTCAAAGAGCGTTGCGACTGCTCGCACAGCGCGAGCACCCACAGTGCAGCGAAGCGGACACGTGGATCCTTTGCCGTCCACCTCTACCTCAGTGCAGCATTCTAACCCTTCTAGGATGACTGCAGCCAACGGTCGGGGATCTCGTGGCCCATCGCTTGAGCACACTGTGTGGACCAATGTTGCGGATGAACAAGATCTTTCTGGTTTTTGAGATTTGTGATGAAACCTCACAGCCGCCGCAGAAGTCTTGCAGTCGCCAGTCGCGCTTTGCAATTGGACACAGCCAATTTCGCGCGAGCTGCCATTTGTGCCCATGGGTGGCAGAGTTCACCTGCAATGATAATGCTTCCAAAGCTCGTTGGCGTCATTACCACACGTGCCATCCTGGTGCATGCATGGTTAGCTTTAGGGCTTTGGAGCGCCGAGTTGAAACACAACCTATTGGGAAGAACTTCAAGGGACAGTTGGCTTGGAAGTGCGCTTTTTGCACGCATGGAATCCCAACATCCGATCTTTGCACACAAAACAGGGTCTTCAGAGCTTACAAGCGACATAGGTTGAAAGCTCACCCCAAGATCCCTGTGAAGAAGTGGGTAGTTGCACAGAAAAAGCTTCGTTTTCAACACCATGGTGCCATGTTGAAGAGAGTTCAAACATTGAATGCAACTGCAGGTAAGGTGAAGAGCAAGGCGTTTTCTCCTGAGAAGTGGCATATAGCCACTTGGCCATTGATTCAGAAGTATGCTTCTGGACGTTTGCAGCTTTCAACACTCAGAGCGTGGAAATGCAAGATTTGCAAAGTGACATGTCGCAAAGCTTCTCTCGCTAAGAAGCATCAGTGCGGGAGAAGCTCACTGGCATCTCGCCAGACAGCGCAAAAGAGAAAGCTGAACACTATGAGTCAGCATATGCAGTTTGTTTTGCAAAGGAAGGCCAAGAATGCCCCCTTTCTTGCCGCGTTTACAGTTGGCCAGCTCAAACAGTTGTTTAATCATGGCCGAGATTTCATTGGTGAAGCGTTAGTTGATTTTTCCTCATGATGCTGCAGCCACTGAAAAATTGTACGATGAATGTGGGTCGATCTGGGGTTGCCAAAACTGCTGCTATCTTGGATTTGGTAAAGCACTGTCAAATCATTGTGCT